CATGTATTAATTAAAAATCATTCCCACCTTTATTTCTACTGTATAAATGACGTAAAAATGCAACATTTTCAACAAGTAGCTGACAGCTGTATCACTTTACATAGAAATACCTCAACTGGTCTATAGGTAATGAATTTGCTACCTCTGAAGCTCAATAAATTTCGAAAACTGGTTGATCACCCAAAAAAACTCAAAGTAAAAACTGGTTAGCTGTGGGATTTTTATGTACAACACATAATAATTTTGTCATAGAACCCTGTAATTGACATAAAGTATTCGACACGATTTTCGGCAACCTTTAACAGAATAAAGACGAGAGACCAACAGAGTTGCACCTCAGAACTGCGAGTTTCTTTCCAAACACGGTCAAAGTGTTAATCCACTCTGGTGCAAAACGGATTATCAGAACGAATTTAATGCCTTTTACTGATTTACAAACACTTCCACAGATGTTCAACTGCTATCATCTAGTCTTAATAAACAATTTCGCACACAATAGGGTTCTTAATTCTATTGTAAAGATTTTGCCATGTCATTTTATTGAGATGTTTGAAACCCTTCAAATCATGCATACGGTTTTTTTATATTCTACTTAATGTACACATTTCAAGGATTTAGACTGATTTTAATATGGTTTCCACAAATATTTATAATGCAGCCTTTGACCAAAGGCACAAATTTCCAAAAATACAAGAATGAACATCTTGTGTCTTTTTTGTTCCTTTCCTTCAGTATTGACGATTCTTAGAGAAAGATGCAGTTTTTTTAACGTAATTCAATTTTTCACGACATTTTGCTCTTCGCTAACAAAACAAACTCTGCAGTCAATAATTAAGAAATGCATTTTTAGAGGAACCAGCTTATGGAACTAAAACTTATGGGAGAAATCAACCTCGTAATAGGCACTTCATTATGCATGAAAAACTAATCATCTTTCTCCCTCTTGTATAAAGCTTAATCCATAACAGTTTTTCCTCAAAGATTCAAAGGAAGTCAAATTGGTTTTGCAGAAATCGTCAAAAAGCGTGTAAGCAAATCAAAGCAAACAGTACGGTCAATTCCTCTAAGATGAACGTTAACAAGCAATTTGTTTTTTTCTTTCTTTCGGTAGGAAGTAGCGCGTGTCCGAACCTATTAGATGATAATTAGGACTCCAAGGAGATGCTCACTCTAAAAAACAACAAGGCTGTCAATAAAATTGACTTCATTACTTACAAAGGATATTTATATTGGTTCTGACTGTCCGTATGTGAGTTCGACAGAAGAATTACAAAAAATATGAAGATTTATTAATTTATTTCTAATTTAGTTAAAAAGGATGGTAATATTCCGAATCACTATTTTTGAATATAATTAATATATTTAAAATATGTTGAAAACTTTACAAAGAGAAGCATTTTTTTGAAGTAACACATGCAAACAGTATTGCAAAACACGAAAATAAAAGTATGTCAGGCTTTCTTGATATTGAATTTTTGTCTAAAAAATTCACTCTAATCTGTCAAATTTCTAACATTTATAATGAATCCGCAAGACAGGATCTTTTTAAACGTTAAATATTTTTCAAGGAAAAATCTCGATGGATCCATACATAACGATTATTTATAAATAAGAACCCCTCTTGTTTAATTTATTGACGTTGTTGACTTTACTCCATTGGTCATTTAATATTTTTTCGGAGGGTTAGATATTAAATTGCTTATTTTTTGGTCCTTGGGGAAGAATAAAATTGCTGTCCCTCGATAGAGGTGCAGACCTTGGAAATCGTTGCCACTGGCAGGGCTTCGAACTCTACCATCTTCCTTACTACCTCGGGACAACAGTTTGATTGCTTCCGCCGTATAGTCGTGAAATAAATGTATAAATGTATAATGTCACCTCCAACAAAGTCAGGGGACAAAATTTTATTGTTTCGCCTAATTTTGTTTACAGAATTCTCAGAGGACTTGAATAACTTTTTTTTTAATAAAAATCATCGTAAATGTATAGTAAAATTAATGCAACTTCTTCGCTCACGTTCTTTTGGATCTGCAATTTGCAATTGGATATTCAAAGCTTGCACATAACGGAACAGATGTACATCATGTGTTATAGTACTCTGGAATAAAAAGAAATCGTTAAGAGCATGCAAAATTTTTATTTTTAAATGCTATTTTCAAAAGAGGGAAATAAGTTTGCACCTAGAGCAAATGACTAACCCCTTGTTCAATGCTTTGTTGTTGGAACAAATACATGTAGGTTAAAAACTAAAAGTGATTCGTCATATGGGAAAATCACAGTTTACAGTTTGTGGAAGACGTTCTCGTTGCGTTCATTGTCTGTTCAAGATCCTTAAATTATATCTTTTGCCTCGTTAAGAAACCGCGCGATCTCAGAAATAATAAAAACATATTGGGTCAAAGGTATACATTTCATCTCCAGAAACACTGTAATGTCTTGTGATGGATTGGTGGTAATTAGTCGCAATTTTCAAATAAAGAGTCAATGAAGTTTGAAATTTCATAGCACACTAAGAACCATGACGAAGGCGTTTTAACCTTTTTAAGGTTAAAATGTAAATGCAGGGTGGATTACAAATCCCGCCATTTTGGCTTTGAGAATAAGCTTATGATTGTCATTTTTGTCAGTTTTAACATTTGCAAGGATTTTTCCCCTTTTTTTAATATACAGGAAATTTTCCAGACATATATGCAAACTTTTTTTCCGCCCATACGATAAACGTCAAGAAAATAAAAATGTGCAAATCAGAAAAAGTGCCATTTTTTTCAATCGAAAACATAAAGAGATCTGCATGGATTAGAACGTTCTCATAAGTACATAAAGTATGCGAATTCTGTTTGTTCGTTTTACAGGGTACGTCAATCATAAAATGCAAAATACACTTTTTATTGCTTGTTTGACTAATTTGGGGATTTCAGAAATTTAAGATAATTCTTAAATTTCATGACCGCCCGATAAATGTCAAAAAATTATAAATCTTTTTCATCCAGAAATTCCCTTTTTCTTTATTTTTATTTATAGTGGTATATTATTAACTTGGGGAAAAGTGACCTGTTTAGAAATGGGTGATAAAAAAGTTTAAGAATGTCGGTTTCCGTTTTTAGGCTCATCACTCCCCGAAAATGCAGCGGAAAAACGCTTTTCTTATAATGCATTTAACTGAGATTTTTTTTTCCATTATAAGAATTTTTGGGAATTCTTTAGAATAGTCTTCCAAACTATGCCGAATAATATTCTCAGTTTTATAATTATTCGAGGACCCAATGATACGTTAGCAACACTACTAAAACATTTATCTAAAAAAGTAATCTTTTATATATCAAAATTCGGTCAACGAACTTAATAAGAAGACGTTTCAACGAACATAAAATACTTAATTGACATAAGCCTGATAAACTTTCGTTACGAGAGATGATTATACAGGAATAAAAACTGTCCATTTTTAATATCGTTCGCAAAATCTTCACATGACAAAGACTGCAAGCGGTCTAATTGTAGATAGATCCAAATAACTCTTTAATGGGTAGGTCGACACAGTACTTCTCGTGTTTCTTGCTTTTTTATATCTTTGTGATTATCTTTCAGGTTCAAGAGTCATATTTCTTTGATTTTTTTAAAAGAAGAAAATGTCCCAACTTGGTTTGGGTTGTATAAGTTTTTTTTTCTTTTTCATTTTCATTTTGCATATGCCCCTGAATTTTTATATATATATTTTTTTAAATTAACAAAAATAACATTTATGAAATAAAATACTTTCATCGTTATAATTAATGTTAAATTCAAAATATGTTTTCTATAATTTATTGCAAGTCAGTTGATTCTTCAAATACATTTTCAGGTGCGGATCCAGGTATTGAAGTTAGAGGGGGCGCCAAAAGTAGGCAAGGGGTCTGGGGGCCGCCTTGAGGCCCCCAGTGGGTCCAAGGCGAAGCCCTGGAAGGGGCTCAGGGGGCGAAGCCCCCGGAAGCTCCTGGATTCTAGAGATTTTGTTGGGTAAAAATGAGGTCTACCAAGTATACATATTTACATTTTCTAAACGAAACTGTGATTTACGTTAACTTTGACAATTTTTTTTTGGGGGGGGGGGGCCTTAAATCCGCCACTGTTTTTTCCCAATAGGACCTATATAGCTGACCCTTTTCAGGAAAAAAAAAACGAATTTTGTTTCTCTCTCTCTCTCTTCAGAAAGAAATTTGTTTATAAAAAATGGCATTGTGAAAAAAGTTTGTACAAGACTTAGCACGCTTTAGAAAAATGGACTTAGGCCTTTTTAGTATGTGTGGGGTATTGAAAAATATGTATGAATAATTGAGAACATCTAGCAAAATATAATTGTAGGCAAGAATGCATAAATGAGTGCCATTTTATATTACTATTTCATGAATACTTATTTCTTTCAGAAAATAAAGTATGGAAAGCATCTGCATGTTTAATTTTTACATTACATCCATGTATATGTACTGTGGAACAAACATGTATCTAGTATTTAAAAAAATATTATATTGATTATTCTGAAAAGCAAAATTTGGCAAGTCAAAAAAAAAACTATATAGTGACATTACAACATAAAATTTGATATACGTTTGGGTTCACATGAAAATATTTTGTGGATTTAAAATATAAGTGGACTTTTTTTGTTTTTGTTTAGTAATTGTTGGTATCTGTGTTTTTTCGGTCTTTTTCAAAGAAAGCAAATTGAAAAAGGTATTAAATTAATTTGAGTTCATTTCCTGAATTTACTCAGAAATGGCTTTATGAAAGTTATTTCCCTTTGATTCGATTTTTCTTTCTTTTACAGAAGAATTCCTAAAAGGAAAGTAATTCGAAAATATGCTTAAAATTACGTTAAAAGGCGAAAGGAATTTTTTAAAACATAGAAGTGGAATTATATATTGTACCCTTTTCAAAACACAGTATAAAACTAGCAAAATTATAAAGGAACTTATTGCATTTTACCTTATTTTGTGCAACTCCAAAGACCGGGAAATTGAGTGCAATTTATGACGTCATATTATCGTTTGTGACGTTTTATGTGGACGGATATTTGCTTTGCACAGATTTCAGCTTGATCAAGATGATGTCTTACAATATTGCATACATCGTAGCTTGTGTGATCATTTTTGCTGTTTACGCAGCGCCGTTAGAAAAAGGAAACATTGAGAAGTCTTCCGATGGTAAGTAGTTTTGAAACAGACGCCCAAAAGAAAGGGGACTGTACTGGCTGTAGTGCTATATTGTATAGTTGGATATCATGATAACTATTTTACTTCTAGTTTTATAAAGAAGTACAATACTAGTAATGAGATTATACTACGTACTGCTCCTTCTGATAGCTGCAGCTGTGACAGCTCTAAAAATAAGACATATTTCTAGACTTGTTTTTTGCATCGAAAAGGTAGGGGTAATTTATTCTCTTTAGAGAAGTGGACAGGCTTTCGTCTACATCCATGTAGGCGAAAGCCTGTCCACTTCTCTAAGAGAATAGGGGTAATTGTGAACAACAATATAGCATGTAGGAAGATGATCAGGGACCGGGAAGGATTTCTTCAAAGTCAAAATATTCTGTTTATATAAAGAACCGGGCAACCCTACAAAAGATTTTTAATGATCATGAAACCAAGACCTTAAGCTTGCATTGAAAGGGAGGTCAGGTTTTCTGTTTTCTCTTTTCATGATAGGAGAAAGGGTGAAATAATCTCAAGTATCCAGGATTAAATGGGGGGGGGCATAACGTAGTTGGGGGGGGGGGGCGCATTGAGACCCCCAGTGGCTCCAGAGGACCTGGTCACAGTGGTGGGGACCCAGGGGACATCTTTTACACTTTCAGAGAAACTATGATTTATACTATTATAACTTTGTCTTTTTAAGGGGGTCGGGTGCACCACCCTTAGGCCTATATCCCACTCGGCACACCTCGGCCGATTCATTCCATTATACCTTGATGAAAGCACGGGATCAGCCGAGGTTTGCCAAATGCAAGCTTGCCACGATTACTTGTAATAGATCCAGACTGAGAATGCCAACCTAACAACCTAATTAGGAAAACAAATGTTATAATACTAGGCCTACTAGCTACTTCTTAAATGTAAATGTTTACCTACCATTACTTTATTATAATTTAATTTTTTCAGATTCATTACGAGATAAGAGAAGTTCAGAGTTATTTCCTTTGGACCATGAGAACAAAATAGCAGAAGAGGTGGGTAGAAAATCTGTAAAAAGAATTTAAATTTTAATGATTAAAAATATAATTGATTCCTGCGTATTGGTTGATACATTTAAACAGTTTCAATCATTCATGCACTCAAGGATAATATTAATATTTCCCTTCATCTGGGACCTATCCTCCGATAATCTGACCACACCCATGTTTTCCATGACTCTTAAAACTGTAAAATCTTGAGATATTAGTACTATGCTTAAGGAGGCTAGGGGGTCAACAAATTACAGTATTTCCTTATTAACCACCAGATATAACTTAAATTTTGGTTGAAACTGTTTTAGTTTTGAAATTTATCCTTTTATTATATCTTGTATCAAACATTTACTGAAAATGGCCACAACCAATCTTTACAATGGTATCAAACATTAACACAATTAACTCCTTCAATGATGGTCAAAGGGAGATAATTGAAAGTAGCCTTTTGTATGCTCTGCTCAATACAAGTATACTGGATTAATACGTTAGTGTTTGACATATACTCAGTATGCGGCATCTGTTTTTATAAAAGTATATAATTTATGACAAAAATATAGTGCATTGAATAATTAAACATGTTAAATGACGTTTTCAAAACAAAATGCTACTGGAGTAAGAAAAATATAATAATCATAGCCTACCTACTGTAGTACCGTAACTTCCCTGATTTTTTGAAACGTTATCAAAAGTCAGAACTGCTTGTTTTTCACCCAAATAAAAATGGCATGGACAAGAGGCCCATGCACCACAAAACTAGTATATTAATATAGTAGTCTTGGTCCATCGTTCTTCAGATTTTTTTTCTTCAGTTTAATATCGTGTCCAGAAATGATATGAGCTTTTAACACAGGCAATTCAACTGAAGTGCGCCAAAAAGGGAATATTAACTTTCAAAAAGGAAAGAAAAATGATATCAATTTTTGGTTTTAAAAAATTTGGCCACAAGACTCATACAAGAAATTTTACATTGTCGATATAAAAATTAAAAAAAAGTCCTGTTGTTATTTTTTCTGTCTAATTTTGTCAATGAAAAATAGAGGGCATTGATAGGGAGAACTCTTGTTAAATATTATTGAATATAATTCAGTATAATGAATATAATATTCATCATACAATGTTTTTCAGGACAATAAAATAGATGATGCACTGGAGGATAATGTACAACGCAGAAACTCCGACGAAAACAACAAGGATTTAGATTTGGACTCGGCAAAAACAAATGATGCTGCTGGTGAGAATAGTATGGAGAAAAGGGATATCGATGATGAAGATGGTGATGATTTAGAAAAGAGAGAAGATGAGGATGCTGCTGACAATGCTTTAGAGAAAAGAGAAGATACTGATGATGATGACAATGATGATGATTTAGAGAAAAGGGATGATGAAGATGATGATGGAGATGATGATTTAGAGAAAAGGGATGCTGATGATGACGACGATGATGATTTAGAAAAGAGGGATGCTGATGATGACGATGATGATTTAGAAAGAAGGGATGCTGATGATGAAGACGATGATGATTTAGAAAAGAGGGATGCTGATGATGACGATGATGATGATTTAGAAAAGAGGGATGCTGATGATGACGATGATGATGATTTAGAAAAGAGGGATGCTGATGATGACGATGATGATGATTTAGAAAACAGGAATATGGATAGTGAAGAAGATTTAGAAAAAAGAGATGATGACGATAATGATGATGATGATGATGAATTAGAAAAAAGAGGTGATGATGATGAGGATGAAGATGATGAATTAGAGAAAAGGGGTGATGATGATGAAGAGGATGATGATGATTTAGAGAAAAGGGGTGATGATGATGATGATGATGACAATGATGATTTAGAAAAAAGAGAAGATGATGATGACAACAATGAAGATAAAAGAGAAACTGCTGGAATAGATGTTGATGATGAAGATGAGGAGGAAGATATTGATGTAAGTGGACAATCAAAAAGAAGTGCTTCTGAGACTGAATCTGATGTTGATATAGAAAAACGTGATGTTTCCAATGTCCAAAGAGTAAAACGTGATATTAACGATGAAATAGAAGATGAAGATGTAAACGACGAAGACATTCAGGACGAAACATTACGGGAGGTCAATGAAGATGATGATGAAGATATTGACTTTGAAGGTATGGACAATAATAACATCGAAATAAGAAACGCTGATGATGATGAGGATAGTGACGAGAACAGTAGGGATGGTGAGGACAATGAGGAAACAGAGGATATTGCCAGCAATGAGGAGGGGAAATTAACAAGAGGGGCATCAAATGAAGCAACAAATATCGAGTCAGGTGAAGATAAAGGAACAAGGGCGGCAGAAGATAAGGATGGCACTAAATCAGGGAGCTTTGACAAACTGATGGAGGAACTGCAAGACTTGACTTCCAACACAAACAGTGAAAGCAAACGGGAAGATTCAGCAAGTGTGGACAGTAACGCAGAAAAGAGGGGTGATAATAACCAAGGGGGTCCTAATACTACTTTATCAGCAGAGCAGATCCAACAGGAGATAAACAAATTATTGAAACAGACCAAATAACTGAAAATGTGCTTAAAACATTAATTAGAATGTATGTTTATCAGACACTACTGAAATGAAATAAGATAAAAGAAATAATTGTGTAGACAGTATAAATTAAATATAATTGTGATTCTATAATTAAATTCCTTTGTACAACTATATTTTTGTATTAATTTGATATATTGAATTTTTGATTTGTTTAATTAAAAGAAAAGAAAAAGAAATATAGCTTATTTGCCAAGTCACACATGAAGCCAGACATGGAGATATCATTACATGTATAAGAAGATTGTCAAAAAATAAATGATTTTGTAATAAAGCTGATACACGTGTATTTGATTTCTGAACAATTTTAAAAACAAGTTCAGTAAAATGTGTCTCATCACAATACCATTGATTTCAAAGAAGTTTGGCAAATCAAGCAACTTTCACTAAAATTAAACTAAATTTCACATTGTGTAAGGCAAGATTTTGGAATAAGCAACATTTAGATTAGACAAGATCGGCTGTAGTATTAGTATCAGTTTTACTTCATATTTTGAAAGAAATTATTCTAAGAGTAAGAAAAGATTGTTTTGAAATTGACATGGATCAAAGCAAGGCCATTCCAAGTTTCTTCTATGTTTAGCGTCCGTGTGCGCCTTGGTTTTTGACACCCCATATAAGAAAAAACACAACATCTGGATCCCTGAAATTGATTGATTTTGTCGAAATTTTTGAATTTCGTCAATTTCTCCAAATAATTCTATACAGTAAGTTATATTGCGTGTATTTTAAGCATTTAATCCCTTGTTTTTGCTTAATAATAGATATTTCTTCTATTAAAGCAGTTTAGTTCGATCAAATCATTTGAAGCGAGTCATTTTTATGACTTTTAAGCCTGTGTTTTATGTTTTGGCTAGTGTGTTTTTTGCGAATAGGTAGGTAGGTTTTTGAAAGATTGGTGGATAAACAGAGAAAAAACTTGGAATGGCCCAATATTAATTATTATTATATATATAGAGTCTGAACAATTTTTTCAATCATGCACAGTATAATAGTTTTAAGTTTGAGCAAAAATGAGGAGAACATTATCCTGAATTAAAGGCAGCAAACTGGGCGAGATCTGAAAATACATCTAAAGATATTTTCTCTGAAAAACTACATGTATTAGGAAGCTGTTAGGTATATCTTGGAAATTTGTAACTATAGAAGCCTCCTACTAAAAGCAAGCAAACTGAACAAATAATTTTAAACAAAAAATAGAATGTGATGCCCCCCATTTGGTAGTTTATTGTTAGGGTTAAATTTTCTCAAATGCAAGTCAAACTCCAAAGGTCAAGGTCAAAGGTATTGGTACCCACAGTAAAGTCTTGTTACAAGGAATACACCTGTGAAATATGAAAGCCCTAGTTCTAACTGTTCAAAAGTTATGGCCAAGTTTTTAAAAAGTGGGTCAAACTAAAAGGTCAAGGTAAAAAATATTTATACCTTCTGAAAGGTCTTACATGTACCACATTGAATATACATATAAAGTATGAAAGCCCCAGCTCAAACTCCTTGAAAGTTATGGCCATGGTAAAAGTGTGGCATTTTTTTTTTTTGTAAAAGTAGGTCAAACTCCAAGGTTTAGAAGTGCATTCCTTGTGACCTTTCTTTGGGTACCACCAAATTTAACCTTGGCCATATCTTTCGAGCAGTTGTTGCTATAGCTTTCACACTTCAGTTGTGTATTTATCAGAATAAGGCCTTTCCATGGATATAAAAAAATTTGACCTGTGAAATGTGAAAGCCATAGCCCCATTCAGTCAAAAGTTATGGGCAAGGTTAAAGCTTTTGCGGACAAACAGACAGCTAATCAGACAGAATTTTGACCTTAACATACGTAGGAGGTTGACCTGCTTTTGAATAAAAAGTAATCTTGGTCATAACTTTTGAATATTTGGTGTTAGTGCTTTAATAATATGTGTGTTTCATATGACAAGGCCTTCCCCTAAATACATTGTACCTTTAATTTGACCTTTATACGTTGACCTTTTGAGTTTCACCCACATATTAAAAAAATGGAACTTTGCCATTTGCTTGGGCTTTCACAAGTATATTCATTTCTTGATACATGTCCTTTCAATGGGTAGTAATATATTTCATATCTTGACCTTGGAGTTTGATTTGCATATGAGAAATTTCAACCTTACCTGCTGATATTTAGTTCTGGTGTGTTTTCTCCAATTTTAAGACCCATTTTGATTTGAAAAGTGAACACTATAAGGTACATGTATGCCTTAATCGGTATCTGAATTTTAATTTTCGGTACCACCACCCCCGATAAAATTATAATAAATAAATCAATTTTATACACAGTTTCCAATACGAGATTTAAGAAATTTTCGGAAAAATCAATGTCATTTTTTACAAACTTTATGGCAAGACCTTCATTTCGTGAGACAATTTTATTTTCTGTGTGAAACATTTTTCAAGTGCTTTAGCAGCCAATAACAATTCAAAAAATTTATTTTCACTCGTGGCCAAATATTTGTCGAGACTTCTAAATCGGTTCCATAGCCTTTTTAAATTGTGACAAGTCTCCTCATATAGAAGCCGATAACTGGATTTCGTTGTAGAAAATTGCGTAAACTTATCACAACATTACCTTTAATCAAACAAATATGTGTACGTAACCGTTTAATCTCATACCTTTGTTCCTTCTGGTCTCCAAGACCAGTTGACTTTCACCATTAACCCCGTATCCGTTGCTCTTGTACTATTGCCGCCAAACTAAACATGGATAGTGCAGTTTGACGTTTTTAGAGCTAATTCTTGCCCTGACTCTATGCAGATACAAACACTTCGTCATTGTTTGCGTAAAGGCTGGGTATAACTTCATACTAGGGCATGGTAAAACATCAGACGGTGGTCACGAAGTGAAGGAACTCTAACCCCAAACACCCTCCCTCCCCTTGTAATGCAGTGTTTTATAATTACTTATGAAATAAATCATCCCATGCTATAGAAAATTGGGTCAAAAGTACAGTCATGGGGAAGAAAAACGTTTCTTTTTTCATCATTGAGAACAAGTTGTCGAAGGCAAAACCTTTTATATAAATCATGCCTTGTCTTCCAATTCACTAAATATTCGTCTCAAACTACTAGTAATTTATTGAGATGTTCACATATATTAACAAATTACTATGCTAAAAATTGGATCAATGAATAAATTACAATGAACGACTGCATCATTGAGTTTGGACAGTTTACAAATGTGCGAGTTTGTGCAACTATTTTATTTGAAATTGACAATTCACATAAGTTAACCCCAATATATCAATCATAATAATACGACCTGAAATGATTTTTTTTTTTATAAACTTAAATGTTTAAGTCGTATCCATTTCCCCGGTTTTCTCGTCAGCATTGTCTGTTTCCATATCCATCTCATGTTTTTCTTTCAATTCTTTCATCTTCTTTTCTTCATCTTGCAACAATTTTTGTACATCTTCCTTTTCTTCTTCATTCATCCCATCCTCTTTCCTTTCCTTTCCTTCCGTTTCCTCTGTATCTATTCCTAACCTTTCCTTTTCCTCTTTCTGTGAATTCTTTTTCATTTGTTCCTCCTTTTTCTTCCATTCCTCGTTAGAAGCTTCGTCAATATCCTCGCCAGAATCGTCCATTTTCTTTCTTTTGTCTATGTCTGCCTGATTCTCTAAGGATTTTTCGACCATTTTGTCCACCTTTGCACTTGAGACCAACTCGTTTGTATCGTCATCCGGGGAACTGTAACCTGCCTCCATCTTTCTGACGTAATCTTTCAGTTGCTCGCGATCTTTGTCACTTTTGATGGTCTCTAGCCAGTAGCGAACACAACTCTCTAGTGTATTTTCTAACGTTTCATTTTCCATCGCTTCCTGCAAAGTAAACTCCACAAACGGACGCTTGTAATGTTCATAACCAAATTCTCCTAGAAACTTCAAAATCCTGGTTATCCTTAAATAGTTATGGTAGGACCTGCAAAAGACCAAAATAAATGTACTGTCAAGGAACAGTTCTTCTCTGGCTACCAGAAAGGACTAGGCCGTCGTCTCAAGACACGTTTGCGACAATGGGAATAGGCCTATTATCTAACTTTTAAAATCTGTGTCCTTTTCTTTTGACTCAATTCATCACGTCCTGTAAGACATACATGACAAGCAATGCATTTCTCGTGCTGGTCAACAAAAACATATGTTCCTACTATAGGGTATATTGTTGACTTTTATTGCCTAATTTGCAAGCATTGCAAAGAATACAACGTGGGGCCAAGTATGATCCAGATTCTAGAAGGTCATTTACAAAATTTGCAATCTTGACATATCAAATTAAAATACACAGCTTTGTGTCAAGGTAAACCTTGACATTTTGTGTCGATGAAGGTGGCAACCCCAACTTACGGTGTACGACCGCTTACAAACTTTCGAAATATTCCATGCATCAGGCGCGGATCCAGGATTTGGAATTAGGGGGGGCGCCAAAATTAGGCAAGGGGTCTTTGAGGCCCCCAGTGGGTCCAGGGCAAAGCCCTGGTGGGGGCCCAGGGGGCGAAGCCCCCGGAAGCTCCTGGATTCTAGAGATTTTGAAGGGTTAAAATGAGGTCTACCAAAGCCCTGGTGGGGGTCCAGGGGGCGAAGCCCCCGGAAGCTCCTGGATTCTAGAGATTTTGAAGGGTGAAAATGAGGTCTACCAAGTAGACATATTTGATTTACGCTAACTTTGACAATTTTAGGGGGGGCGCGCGCCGGGTGCGCCCCCCCTTAAATCCGCCACTGCGCATATTAAATTTATCCAATCCAAAGATGACTGAAAAGAAAGAGGGATATCATTCTCGCATATACATGTACACAGCATTTCATGTTATGTGGATTCTGTATAAGAGATTGATTTGCTTTTATAACCAAAACACTGTTACCGATTGTGCACTAGGAAAGGAATTTCTGAAGAGTTTGTTTGAACATGCTGAAGAGACCCTTAAATTCTCTCTCCCACATAGTAATGCAGCGACAGTAAATCCTGCACTGATTAAACAAATACATCAGATAACTATTATTGAATATTGAACACTTACGGATTTGTCGGCTTATCTTACAAATCTGAGTAACGCCAAAGGCATTTTACTTATTCAGGTACAACTTATTTTTTTATTTTTTTTCGGCAGCAGTCCCATTTAATACAGTTGTAATATATGTTCTACAGATGTTTGAAATAAACATCTTTAACTTATGCTAGCTTTATTTCTTTAAGGGCAGTAGACCCAATTCATATACTTGTACATGCATGTTTTAGGGGAGTTGATATAAGGAATCATAGTCTAGTTAGTAGAGTATGCCAGGGCATCAACGATGGTTGGAAATGTTTGATGATTTGCATATTCGTCCGTTATGCATAAATTATCCCATGTTTCCAACTAACGTTGATGTCCCTGGACTTTACATGCATATTAGGCCTCCCTAGCGTCAGACACATAGGCAGACGCGCACAAGATTTACATGCGTATTGGGCCTACTTAGCTCCTGACCTATCGCGTGGCAACATTTACATTCTGGTAGAATGCTCAAGAAATCAACTCAACTAACTTTCCAAGATTTATCACAGACAAAACAAACAGAAAAGGAAATATTGCAGGTTCATTCCAAAGTCCAGCTTCCATGAGAACAGAATCGCCTCTGCTTTTAAAGCAGCTGGCATACACTTCTTCAATAGAATTATAAATTAAACCTTCTTTCTTATGCTAGCTACATAAAATTCATAAATCAACCCTTGTTTTTTTTCAATACGAACTTGCAGCAAAAGAAGGCTTACATGTATATGATCAGTCAGCATTGCCAAGCTACAGGGATCTTTAAGCCTTTTTTTCAAATTGCATGAAGGGTTACCCTCTGATTGCCTAGACACGATTCCTGCGATAACTAAGGTTGACATTCTATATAAAAAAGGTTAGTCATCAAAGAGGTGTAAATTGGTGTTTTATCATTGTTGATAAGCTAGTTTTGTCGTGTTTACCTATCTGGTTAACTTTACACGAGGTTTTGTTGCCAACTACATGAAAACTACACTTTTGAACAGTATATATCCAGCAAGAGAATTGTAGCCTCTACTTAAGCAGGTAAACAAGTTCTTCATCAACAGGAACAAACAGGAGGTAGTTCGAAACCCAAAGACACAACCATTTGTTCGTTTTTAGCAATAACTCCTATTGATGTTATTTTTGGGCTGTAACCTTTCAAGCAGATGACAAATTATGTTGAAAAAATTCTCGCCATAAATTGATGCATGTAGCACTTGCCGTAACATAACTTAGATGCTTGTGATCAATAAGTAACTTCAATATTTTGTTGAAAACAAATTATATTGAAACCCATAATAAGCAACTTAAAAAATATATCTGATATTTATATTTATATAATATACCGCTTTTGTAGCAACTATTTTCTTTGAACGAGAAAAGTTAACAGGAAACCTTTTCAAAGTATGGAAAGACATTTGTCATCAAACTACACATGTATCTCTGTTTTGTAAACTATATGGGCTTTTATCAAAAGAAACATCTTTGATATTTCCTTGTTCATATTACAGATTAGTGAAGCTATAAGTCTGTGTATGACTAATTGTTTTTTCTCCTTTGATTTTGGGTGCTAATAAAATACTAGACGTCACCGTAAATCATGATTAATTCAAATATTGGCGCCTATTTCGAAAGTTGTAATACCAGGAGTCCGTGGCATTGCGAGAAATCAAAAAGACTCGTGGAGAAAAGGAAAGGAGAGTTTATCGTCATTCCAGACGGCTGTTCATTTGTCACCCAAAGTGTGACAGGCAGATACTCCTAATCATGTATAAATATTTAATTTACACCTTAACAAGGGTCCGAGGGTGACGGCCACTCGTCATGCTATCGCGTTGCAGGAGATAAATGGTCCCTAAACATGTAAATTGTTCTTCCAATACTATGATCCATTCCATGATGCAGGGTTATTATTTCAATAAAAGATATTTTTTGTTTTAAATTTTATTCACGTGGAGAGCATCTTTTCCTGTATAATTGTTTTATTTTTCATGTAAATTTGCAGCCTGTTTCGCGAAAACGGGAGCATTGCCAAAATATAATAAAAATACATAGTCATCGGTAGTTAACTGAAAAAAAAGCCTCTGTTATCACAATGCACCTAGAAACATGACAAATCGCGAAATACGTTAATTAAAAGTAAACAGAGAAACAAAGTTTGGGTTCTATACACCTGTGTGTATGGAAAAAAGATCCACCCTACATTGGAAGGTCTATTATCTGTCTTTGCAGTCCTTTAAATAACACTTTGGGAGGACACACTCACGTCAGGGCGAAAGACTTCAAAGACAAACTTTTTCCAGGTATCAAAAAACGTTTGTTGTATTTTGCACTTAAAAAACGAAACATCAAAAGTGCATAAATCAAAGGCCATATCAACAGCTCTGACAATGCGGAATATTTCTGTGAAATGCCAGGTTAGAGAACGGGGTTAAATTTCTAAATGATTGGGTGGTACACAATTTATTTTAAAGATACAGTGGAATTTTCATGACAAAAAACACCCTGATCTGTAATGGTATGTTTCTTTGGAGGGTGTTAAGACCATGCCTTGCGATTTAAAGCACAAACATTTAAATTACAGGTTCCCTTCATAATAGATATATTATTTATCTGTAAGTAAAAGAATATTACTATACTGCAAAGAGTGTTCACTAGTGCACAAGGCATGGGAAACCTTAAGGGACATTAGGTGCAATGGAAAATTATGGTCTGATTTGGTTGTATCACTTGAAAACAAGATAATGCAGAATACCAGATTTAATTGTATACATAATATAACATTTGACCCCTCCTCCCTGTTCGTAATGGGTGGTGAAATAACTATTTTGCCAAGAATATCTGTTTGTTTTTTCATCAAATATCATATTTATTTGGAGACCCTTCACTGGAATACTGGTATTGCTTGTTGAAGGTGTGTCCTAGATATTGGCTAAAGGTCATATCTGGATAAGTCCCCCAGCAGTAATTATTTTTAAGATGTTAAGGCTATAAAACTTTTACTGGAATGATTTTCAGGCTCTAAATACATGTTTAAGTATATTGTTACTCATGAACTTACAAGTGTAAGTTATCAGGAGCTTTAATCAAGTGATCGTGCACTTTGAAATGTCAAGGTCACCTAGAAATAGGAGGCTGAAATTATGTTCAGGCTATAATTTGAGAACTTTTTCCCAGATCTTTCTTCAATATCTTAAGTTCATTTCCAAAAATTACCTGATTTAATTTTGATTTGAAACAAAGACTCGGGAGAATGAGTTCCAAAAATGGTTCTAAACACTTCAGGAATGCACACTTTGACATGGAAACCAATCAGAGGTATTGGGATGAAAATAAAGTCCAATCATGAAAAGCAGGGGGATTTAAAAGCTAACTTACTTATGCAATACTTTGACAACTAAAGAACATGTAATCGGTATTTTAAAGGAACAGGCTTTAGAAAGTCTAAAGATTATTTGAGTGATGTCACTATGTACTGCAATAGAATTATACAAAGGAATTCAATGTAACCAAGTTTCATACATAAAGATATGTATACAGAACGTGACAGACAGCATTAAACAACTTCAGCATTTAGAGACTTGCAAACGGCAGCCAAGCCATAGCTGAAGTATCTTAATTTAAACATTCAAAGGGTGTTATTTTAGGCTTGATTCATGAACCAACTTCACCTCACATCCCCCCAAATTTTTTTTTTATATTTTTTAAAAATTATTTCTTATAGGTAAATTTTTATGTATACATTTATTTCTATTTTGAATTTTGTTGCAGAGAATTAATTTCAATTTTTTTGACTTCTTATGAAAAAGAGACCATGGAATGATGTCCTGCGATGTCAAAAATGTTTCCTGCAGTTTGCTTTCCATATGCAAGACGGTAATGTGACCAAATTCAAACTTGTGCCCCCCCCCCCCCCCCCCAACTTACCAGTAGTTGCAAGTTTGGTTAAAATTGGCAAAATGGTTCTGGAGAAGAAGAAAAAATTGGAAAACTCTGTAGAAGATTAATGATGTACAATACAGACAGAGAGATAGATACCAAACACTTCTTTTGTTGTAAAAGCTCCTTCAAACCAAACTAAAAATGTTCATTTAATAGATGTACATAAAATTATCAACTTAGAAAACTTAGAAAATTTCCCAAATTGTTTTAGCATCTGCATGTATAATTATGTCTACGTGTACCTGAACTTTTATTGTTGATTTACACAGGAATGAAAATCTTGCAATTGACTAAGAAGGAAAATATTTCTTTAAAAAATGCTACAAGCAATAACCAATCAATAAATCTCCACTTTTAATTTGCATACTCATACATTTGGACCACAGTCCAAAACATTACAAAAGTTAAATCCCTGGTATTTAAGAAATTACTTTGCTGATTTGTGTCCTTATCTGGCTTCTTAAGAGAATTCACCTTCATTTTACATCATTTATTTTTTTTCTCTCTAAATCTCCCTATCTATGTAGTAACTACACAAAATAACTGGGGTCTAATTTAGAGATTTTGTTAGGTGATTTTAACATTCCAAAGGCTATAACTCCACAGGTAGTCTTATTTATGGCGGGGAGGTGAGAAGTGGTTCTTTTTTACACTGCTTCTGTAGGGTTGCTCAGAACTTGCATCAAAACATAGATTAAGGGTCTAACTACTGATTGACAAATAGCAGAGTATCGTGGATAAAGTTGATTATGTGATTTGTGGTTATTGAACTTCACACAAGTAGATCCTGAGAACTATGCAGAGTATTACGTGACATCGGGTCTCTCCTGCAAGTTGGTTAGATAAGCTTTAAGAAGAAACATGGTACTCAGGAGTACAACATTGGTTGCGTAGGCCAAATTTCTGGAATTCCTGTCAAATTTCGGGTCTTTCTAAGGTTATTCTCTTGGACTATCTGAAACCTGTTTGGGGCTATTGACGTCTTTGATGGCAATTTACAGCATAATGCTTCTAAATGGTGATTACATAACGCTCTGTTTGATCCCGTTTTATCAAATTTCTTCAAAATGAATAACAACTTTGATAAATGACTGAGGGGTGAAAAATGTGCAGTATCGATTTTGCTGTTTATTGCTTTTTAAAAGGCCAAGTGTTGTCAATTTTAAATTAGGTAGAAAACCCATGGACTCATTTTTGGCCACACAACAAAATTGTAGGGAATCAATTTAAGAAATTTATAACTAGACTAATGTTTATGAAATATACATGGCCTTGTTAAAATGATAATGAAAATGATTAGATCCTGTCTAAATGACCTTGGATAATGGCCATAATACATTCCAAGATCACCAGTTCCTTCATCTATGCTAAGTATGATTAGACTTTTATCTGTTTCAGTGTTTGCATCAGAAAGTAATAGACTGGACATGAAATCTACACTTCTAATCTCTGTGACCCTTTTAAAACTATATTAGATATAGGATCTTGTCACATCTTCTCTCATTATATGCTAATTTTGTGCTAAGTTTGAAGACCTAGATTCCATTACTTTTATATCAAAAGATAAGAGAAAATTTTTAATTTCTAAAGAGATAAAGAGATGGACCAAGTCAAATCAATACATGTACATGTATTTAGTAGTATAGAAATGTTCAACATAAATATTTTGCAGAATATACAGTTCAAATTTTGCCTTTTAATTTAAATCAAATTATAAATGTGTATGTAGAAGTACTTGTATTTTTAAAATCCACAGTTTTATTTATATAATCTATTACAAATACATGAACATGTATTTATTAAATTTGAATTTTTATGCTTCTTTCGTCTAATTCTGCTTTACCAATCAGCTTTAAGATCAGCCAATAACTTAAACCAATTAAAATTCAATTCAAAGCAAAGCAAAGAGAAATGCCTTTCTTCTGTTGCTTAATTGTGAAAGTCTCGGTCTTCATCTTTCATCATTTTCTGAATACTTAGCTGATTACCTCTGATGTACATTATAAAGATAAACCCCTTGATATGGCTTTCATGTGAAACTTTTACAATGCATGTATAAAGGAAATATGTACATGTATAAAAAACATTCAAAGTGCTGTCAAGTGAGATTTGCAGATTTAACTGATTTTTCACAACCTCTTACAATTGTATTATCAAGCAAGAATGCACCTAAATTTTAAATTACTTATGTAAATCACTTAATTTTCATGAGATTTAATACTCAAGAGACTGTATTTTAATGGTATTGATAAGCAAGCAATTTTTTTTTACAAGATATTGGTTATTGTATAAAGTTTTTAAAAAAATTTCAAGAGCAGATTTTTTTCTTCCATTAAAGAGAAATCAGGAAATTTAATAACCAATATCTTGTAAAAAAAAAAATGGTTACAGTGAAAATTTACATGTTAGAATGGATTTTTTTGGGGGGGGGATTTTTGGAGCAGATGATTTTTCATAAATATGTGAAAAAAACAAGGAGATTAACAGTACCACATAGGCCTATGACAAAGACTAAGTACTACCCAGCAAGGATCCCCTCACAAAATTCAAGTTTATAATCATTAATACATCTCTTTAACACATGGCTCAGGGCATACTTGATTTGAAAGGAAAAGAAAGGTAACTCCTGTAAGTTTTCAAAATCTATGAAATTCAGAAATACGTATGAAGGAAATGTAGATTTAAATACATCTTTGGTATTCCTTCAAACGATTTCTATCTCTTTTTAGGTCACCTGAGTTTACTATCCGTTTTTGTCCTTTATCATTACATGTAATTGTCCTTTGTGCTCCATGTGCAAGCATGGAAACATTTTCAGTTTCATCTCTAAAACCACTGAACACACTTTCAAATAATTTTGGCATATAGCATCTATGGGTGAGAAATTGTGAATATCATGGCACTTGTCCCCCTGGGGCCTGAGAGGTGGGGCTAAAACCATCAAAATTAATGCAATCTTTAAAAATCTTCTTCTTTATTCCTGGACATCAAGCAGTTCAACTACTGTAAATTCCTATTAAATTAAATGCGAGGAATTTATTATCGCGTAATTCGGCGAGAAGCATCACTTGCGAAATAAAATTTCTTGCTTTTATTTTTATGGTGCTGAAATCCATGTAAATTAATTCTCTTTATGAATCGCCCTTTCGCTAATAAATATTCTCGCGATTTGTTGTTAAAGAGCCATATCACGATAATAAGTGCTCGCGAAAAATAAGGAATCTACAGTATTGGCATGGATGTAATCAGCACTGAGCCAGTTCTACTAAAATTGTGAAATTCATGGTTCCAGGGTCAGGTGTTCTGGTGTTAGGGCAAGGCTCTAAAGATTATATTGTGAATATGCATGAATTCTTTGAAAATCTTCTCCTCTGCTCCTGGGTAATAAACCAATGAACTTTGTACATAATTTTGATGGGGAAGAGTGCCTTTTCCAAAACTGTGAATACCTTAGTCCCTCGGTCAGGGGTTCTGGTGTTAGGACAGGGCTCTATAATGATTTATATATTGTGAAAATACATGAATTCTTTGAAATCCTTTCCTCTGCATCTGGGTATAATAATTATTTATCTAAATTCATAGTTATGATGAGCAAGGATCTTTCTTACAGAATTGTGAATTTCAATGTATCTGTGTCAGGGTACCAGGGAGGGGAGGGGTGGCTCTAATAATATTCATGTAATATGTACTGAAAATGAATTTAATTAATGATTTAAAGCTGCTCCTTTTCTAAAATGAAATATGTGGATCCAGGGTCAGGGGTTCCTGTGGGATGGGGGCACTACTGATTATTGCTTGATTAATGCATTTTTTTCTTTGTTCCCCTACTCCATCTCTGGGTATTTAGTAACTGAACTTAAAGCATGCCAATTAAGTTTATATAGTTATTATAACTATATCAACTTAATTGGCATGCTTTAAGTTCAACTTATGATGAGCAATGGTGCCTTTTTCAAAATTGTGAATTTCATGGCCTTTGGTTTAAAACATGCACCAAACTTAATTGTTGGAAAGTTGTAACATGATACTCTGGTGACCTTTACAGTCTGTGCGCTTCTTTTTTTATTACTTTTTTTTATCAATAAAGAATTTATCTCATTTAAATAACATTATAGCCATCTAATTCAAATGAACTAGATTATCTTTTGATCTCTGCTTGACCAATTTATAAACTTACCTATTTAGGTGACTAAATCTTGCTCTCCAGTTGTTAGCCCTACTGACTTGTCCTGTTTTTTCATCCAATTCCATGCCATAGAAGTCCAGCATCATTTTGTACGATTTCAGCACCCGATCAAAAGCCACAGGGTCATCCATTATTGCCTGCACAGGTAAAACATAATGCAATTTAAAATATAATTTTTTTTATACATCTCAAAAAAAAATAAATTGTATTTCTCTAAGTGCAGAGATATATATTTTTGCATGCTGATATTTTCAGCACTATAACAGAAATTCTAATCTTTTATACGAACATTAATTTCACACTGTTGTAGTTCTTGTGCATGGAAATTCATCCCAGTTTCTCTGATTGGAAACAACCTGTTAGGAGAAAAAAAATCAAAATGGTTATTTTTCAGTCCTCTGTGTTAATTTCACATAATGTGAGTATGAAATGCCTTCAAGTAGTAGGTTAATATATCTGAGTAGTTACAATGAAAATGCACACAGATAAGGTTGCATGATTTTAACAACTGATCTTTTCTATGATAAGACGGATTTGATGTGTCTAAACAGGGCTGGGCAAAAATATTGATATTTCGGTATATTGCAATACAATGACAAAGAAATATCAAATTGCCATTTGTTTTTGGAATACTGATATACACCCACAAAGTGCTTGGAAGCAGGAATACTATCATTTGATTAAATTTTAAGAAAAGTTGTCTGAAAGGTTTTTGATTGAGCCAAACAGTAAGACAGAAGCTGTTATGTGGGTGTATTTCAATGTATAACTGTAATTAAATCAACATGATTTTTCCATTTAGTAACTTATCATGTACATTATGCATGTAAATTGATTTTTTTAATAATATAATTTTTGGATATGAACTACTATAAAACCAAATTAAAAATGTCATAGCTAGGTCAAAAAATGCCCTTTTAATTATGTTAAAAGTATTACAATACATATCGCAATACAGTTAAAAATATTGCAATACGAAATCTCTAAGCAATACCCAGCCCTTTGTCTAAATATCCGCTAACTTGAATTGTTTGTATATATCAAAATTAACTTACCATTGTACATAACCATGATGCCTTTCAAGTCTCTCATAATCTCCCCACCATTTTTTGTGAATATTATCTATGAAGTCTCCTGCAAGGCAAGCAAACACATTTTACAATAGCACATCATGTATATCAGTGAAAAGCAACCCTGTCATTACTGTGAAATGTAGAAACCATGCACATTTAAGTGGCATCACACTCTGAATGAAATTAGACAAAATTAAAGAAATAAAAATTGGAAATCTTCCTTTGAGGGAATAAATAAAAAAAATTAATCCAAAAATTATATGAGATAGAGCAATTATTAACATGCCTAAAGAAAGTACAGGTGAGGTATAATATGGTTAGGAGAATGAAAAGAAGAACAAACATTTAACATCAACTTAGATAAAAGCAAACACTGAGAAACTCATGGCCTCTCTTAAAAAGGTGAAATTATAAGCCTGTCATAATCATACAATATAAAAACATGACTGTATGTTTCCACTGTATTAATTCAACCTTTTGAAAAGGCATTTTTCTAGGTCCACAATTAGGGATATAAATTGCTGCCAAGAAGAAAAAAAGTTATTGTTGTGAGCTTTATGGCACTTATAGCTTCTGTTTTAATTATCATTCACTGACATTCACTGATTCAGTTGCACAGTCAAATTATATCGACTGGTCAATATTGTACAGTACATTTTGTGGCAATGCTCACTCATGTCCAGATTAGGAGTGGCCTTGCCTCTCTTTATATTCTGTCCTAGTTCTACCAAATATTACATGTAATGGCCATACTTTACCATCTGGGTAAGATTTCAATTCATTCTTGTAGAACTTCATGTTGTCATTCAATCTTGGATTATCCCTTTTACCCTGAAAGTTGAACAAATACATGTTCATAGATGTTCAGCAAGCACACATAAAATATGCATCAGAATTATGATTTATGATTGCTTAATCAAACAGTGTGCTGTCAAAAAACCCTTCCCTTGCATGTCATTCAATAATGTATTAAATTTATTACTTGACAATTATTTTATAATTCAAAAACTTTGAATTTTAGTATAATATTCCATCATTTACTTGTATTTCTGAATAGCTGAATCATGCAAAAGCACCAAGTCCCAGTTGGAAACAGACATTTTACCAACAAAATTTAAGGTTATACATCATCAACATGTTCAAGTATTTGTTACCTTAGATTCATAAGTATGTTTATTTAATCCTTTTCTTTGTTTATTTTAATTGCTACTTTAAAAAATACTCTAAAATTTGAAACTTTATCTATTGAAAATTTTCTCTTTTGGGGGTGTGTGTTTGTTATAATTTAATTGTTTTAAAAGTAATTACCTAAGAAAATAACCTCCAAATATGTAGACTCAGTTAAAAAAATCTAAAATTTGAAAAAGCTTGGCAAAATTTTCTCTCTTCCAGGTGTGTGTTTGTTACCCTCAATTTAATATGTTTTAAAAGTAATTACCTAAAAAAAAAAACCCCCGCTTTTATATTGTGACTTGTGCGGGGTAAAAAAATATAAAAGCGGGGGTTAGAGTCAGAGGAATCTCGGATTACCAAATATGCTCTTTTTTTAGGCAATATATGTACGCACGTGTAACCATTTACTCACAGATGTTTCCTTTCCAAAAAAAAAATATCAAAATTTAACTTACAGGGTATCCTTTTCTGTACTGTTCCAAATCATTCCTGCGGTAACTTGTAAAATAAGATGATTCATCATCAAGAACGCTTTTCTTCTTTTTCATCTGCAGTGACATGATTGGTAAAATTGTAGCTCAAATTATGGTTCTTGAAAAACACCAGTACACTGAGAAAATATCATTATTAAATACTTCAATGTTTACTACTAGGTAATTGAAAAAGGGTATTGGACACTATAAATTGTCTTGCATTAGTATGGTCATATAAAACAAATAAACAATATTGCCAAAGGGGGTGTCAGATATTGAATGATCAACACGTAAATATTCTAACCAAATGAAAAGCATTTGATTTAGGATAAAAATTACGATTTTCTTTCAACTTTCTTTTTATCTTAATGGAAATGGCTGAACGTGTCCCTATTTCTAAAACCTCATTATCTGATTAGTGATCTTCATATCAGATCAGCAAAATGGCTATAATCAGCCACTGACAGAGTGTCATTGATAGCAGAAAAAAACATACTTTGGGCTTTTTGTCAGATTTGTTCCCTGAAAAAAAGTTCCCCATTTTTGTTTGCTTCAAAGAATCATTTTTGTCTGAATTTATGGAGGATGATTTTCCATCGCTTTTGGGCATTTTTCCGCTTTCGGTTTCAACCGGAAGTGTGACATACAATAAGTAACCAATGTAAACAAAAGTGATAACCAAGAATATTTAGGAACAGACCAAGATTTTTTTTTTACAGAATATTTTCCCCAATATTTTGCACATTTTAAGAAAATATTAAGACAAATATTTTTGTGCGAAAATAAATGACATCTAGCTTTGTACAAATGGCTGCCTCCATCATCATGTGAAAATCATTTGGACTGTTCATCCCTTTTAGGCTTAATTTGCTGATTATAGCACATTCAGATTAAGATGACATTGCTTTACTTATTCAGAAATTCTTGTGTTTTGAGGTAATATTTGCTAGAAACATATCAATACATTTAAAAGTTATAAATCGCAAGTTTTTGAAGGTTGTTCAGAACGTTATAGTTCGAATTTCCTCGCATGTAATTTACATTGTTGTTTTAGGGAAAGGATACAATGGGACGGACCGGTATCAGACAGAACAAAGTTGTACTGTCATTGCTTTGAAACTCAAGGCCTCAAAAAAATCTTTCTCTCTTTTTCATCAACAGAAAAATTAAAAATTATTCATGGAGCTTTGAAGACGGACAGCACCTGACAGAAAATTCAGGCATAGGCGCTTGGTTTCAGGATGGTGTATTTTGTATGTGTTATGTTTTTTTTCAAGGTGTGTCTAAATACCCTCATTTTTTAAAATAAAAAAGTGAAAAATCAAACATCTGCCGATTTGAAATTAGCACGTTTAAAAATGTCATAATTAAAGAGAAAAGGAGCGCCAGAGGCTTCCCGAAGTAGAATTACCCAGAAAATCTAGAGAGAACAAGTTTGGCACGGTTTCTGACCTCTCTAGATTTTCTGTGTAATTTTGAGACGCCTCTACATTTTTCATCATCAGAAATCGGCACTTCCATTGCTTTTGATTGATCATTTTTGCAGCTAGATTTCACCTGACACCAGTAGGAGATTTAAATCAAGTGTGAACAGAGGCATCCCCCTCAAATTCAAGATGGCGAGTGGTGCTCCTCTACTCTTTTTATATACAGTAAATATGACATTTTTTAAACAAGCTAATTTTGGCGAATTTTTATTTTAATGAGAGTATTAATACACACAATTAGAAAAAAACTTGATACACAAAATGTAACATTTTGAAACCAAGTGCCTATGATTCAGGGAGTGGGGTTGGATTTGAATCCTTGTCTGGTCCATTGCCTTTTTATCCTCTCCTGTCATTTCCTTAGTAGTATCTAGATGTACAAATTGTAATGAAAAGTGAAAAAAAAAATTTGGATACCAAGATTAACACATTAGTTCTCCGTTCAGAGATTTGCTCTACAAGCTAATTGACAAATATGAAAGTGTTTCATACTTGTACTGAGTTCATTAAGAATATACTGATATATGTTTCATATGCCTCTCTATTGTATATAGGAGGGGTTATCAAAAAGTTTGTGAACTAGCGCCATAAAATTAAAACCGCTTTAGTTACATCAGTGAATTTTAAAATGTCTATTCGGCATCAACTTTTCTATCTAAAGAATAAACCATGAATCATAAATTTTAATTTTCAATAGATTAGTAATGTTTTTGTAAGCAATGGTATGTCCAGTCGGCGCAACCTCCAACACGACGTTTTTGCAACGTGTGACTGAGAAAAACTCTTTTGATATGATCATTTGACATCCAAGTATCCCATTATTTCAGGTGTGTGTTGGGACACGATTGTTCCATAAGATATGAAATTTTTACTTCATTCTGGAAGTTCTATGAAATTTTATCGTAAATTTTACATGAAGTGTCCAAACAAATAAGGCCTTGAAAATGACGTCAAAAAGGGGAGGGGTTTCCTTTTCCAACATTGTATAAGGTTTTGCCCCTGAAAAAAACTGGTATAGACCTAAGAAATATAAAACTGGCTACAAAGAAATAATATGCAATCAGAGCACTTGTCGTTTAATGTCAAAATAGATTCGGAGAGAAAAGGAATGTACAATTAATGTCGATTTGTAATCAAGGTATGAACAAATCAATCACGTCAAAAATTTGAACTCCCAAAAGCAAAATAATTATGCTGGCACAATCAAGCGAGGATCTCTCCGAATGTACATTATTATCCATTTGGAGTATTATATTCATTGAAAGCCGCTGTTCATGACATTGTAAAATCATATAAGCAAGGTGGGTTTTTGTTTTTACTCAGCTCCAGGGAATATCATCAAAATAAGTGTATGAAGTAGAAGAAGCGGACATTGAAAAACAATGACGTAGTCGGACGTCATGAAACTAAACGGCGACAGTGCAGGATGATCATATAATGTCGTTTTTATTTTATAATAATTTGGCAAATAATGAACGTATCAAGCTAAAATTTTCAACATTTCTTTATTTTTTGTTGTTATATGTTCCATAAAAAATTTAAAGGCACAGTCTACATAGTTCCAATTTTATAGCTTCAGTCCACGAACTTTTTGATAACCCCTTGTATATTTAGTCAGTGACAAGTTTTGTTTCCATCACAATCGAAATCAACAACTGATGTCAACAGTATACAAGAAATATTTCCTATACTGCAATTGGATATTGAAAGGTCGCAATAAAGTTCATCATCCGACTATGCTTTACTCGCATTGGTCAATATTTTAATGAGCTACAAAGAATTCTCTCCTCGTTCAACCATGGCCAGATGGGAGAGGAGCATAAATTTTGGCCGTGGTTTGCGACGATGACTAGTTTATGATTGCACTAATCTTTAAAGAGAATGGTCAATTTTGATTTTCTACTTTATGTTTTTATAGGTTTACAGGAATTTATATGAAAATTGGTAAATTTAAAATTTAGAAGTCTTATAATTAAAAATGCATAAAAATGCTTTTAATGTTGCCTAACAGAAAGTGAATATTAAATTTTAATTTTATTTCTTTCCTAGATTATTTTTTCATTTTCTTAATTTTTTTTTTACTTTTTCATTTAGATTTGCTCACTGCACTCCACAGTCTACTTTAAAAATTCCACAAAAATGGACCTACACAGGGAAGTCTTTCCTGAAGAACTTAAAATGGAACTTCTCCTCCACACACAGAAAGCCTTTATTAGGAATTAAAAAGTATGTTTTATCACTACCTCTAGGATATGGTTTCGTGACACTAAAATTTAAACCTCAAACTGTTGAATGTGCACCTAAAGTCAAACATTCTCGTCTTGTGGAGAAAAATGACAGTGTGGGACCTGATGCCAAGTTTGACTGGAAACAGTTCTTCCAGATGTTATACCCAGAGATATGGTATCTACTGGCAGCAGTCATTGTAAGTTGTCTTTTTTCAAACTTCTTTGAAGATTCACATTTTTCTGTTATATATATAGAGATGTTCAAATATGAAAACATCATACTTTGGTAGGCTGCCGTATCCGCTGCCCTTGTCAACATTAAAATTCCCCTGCTGCTCGGTGATGTTGTCAATGTGGTGTCCAACATGACAAGAGAAGCGAGAGATGCTGGGGGAGATTTCATCAGTAACCTCAAAATTCCAGCCATTAAACTTATGATGTTTTATGGTGTACAGGTAAGGGCCATTTACAGGTACATGTATTTCATCTTTATAGCTGTGTCATGAAAAAGAACACAGTCAGGTTAAATATCAAGAGTTATTGCTCATGAGTTGTCTATGGCATTTGAATAGCTTTACTTGACAGTAAAATACTTTTGTGTAGTTAGAAAAATGTCTAATGTGCATAGTACCCAAGAGCAAAAAGCCTGTTTTTAGAGACACTTGTGGAGCACACATTATTTGGCTTAGCGGTCAAAGGTTTGAGCAATAACCCAGAGGTTGCTAGTTCAAATATCACTGTGAGAACTTAATTTAATGATATTAATGTTTTTGTTGAAAAGTAAATTTTTCATTCATAATTTTTTAGGGCCTATTAACATTTACTTACATCTCCTTGTTATCGACTGTTGGTGAGAATGTCGCCGCTCGGATGAGGAGGAGACTGTTTGACTCTCTGCTACGTCAAGATGTAGAGTTCTTTGATACACACAAAACCGGAGAGCTGGTAGATAGGTCAGGTGAAAGATAATTTTAAAATCAATTAGGGAATATTGAATTTTTTACAGGTTATCAACGCATTCTCTATTTATACATTACATCATACATGCACACTTGCCTTTATTAATGTGCATAATAAATGAAGCTCTGCCAATTGAAAAAAAAAAGATGTCACTGCATTTGTGCTATTGATTTCATTTGCTTGATTTTGATTTTAACTTATGTTTTTTAAAGGATTTCAAGTTTAAGTTTTCAAGTTTAAGTTTAAGTAAACTTGAAAAAAAAAAAAAGGATTTCAATCACTTTTACTCTCTTCAATAGATTACATAATTTAATAGAGTGTTAATTGTTTCATTACAGATTAACTTCTGACATTCAAGATTTTAAAAGTTCCTTCAAACTTTGTATTTCTCAGGGATTGCGAGCTTTTACACAGGTTAGTTCTACTGGAATTTTAGTTGACCCAGTGGTCGTTATCCATGTACATGTATGTGGTATCTAAACATCTAAGTACAGTGTGTGTAATATATGATACAGTAATGTGCTGCTTCATTTCAGACAATAGGTTTCATGTGTGCAGATGTACATTGTGTGTGATACTCCCTTTGTTATTTTATGATACAGTAATATATGTTTTATTTCAGACAATAGGCTGTGTGTGTACATTGTATATGATATCCCCCAAACTGACCATTCTGATGGTAACCGTGATTCCTGCCATCATTGGGGTGGGGACGGTGATGGGGTCAGGGTTAAGGGCCCTGTCCAAAGCTGCCCAGGATCAGGTTAGTGCATAGAAATTCACTCTAATAGAAAAGTAGTGAAATCTTAATAATGGAACAAGGCTGTGTTCCACCCTTTGTATGATTACATGTATATGATATTTGGCTGATTTGTTCCAATTATAAACTTCTTGGTGAACTTATTAATGTTTTTATTTCATCCTTGTAGATATATTGTGTACATGGTGATAAATAAAAAAAATAAAACAAAATATATATACATGCTCAATTAACATGTACTCATGTACAATGTTGTCCCTAAGAATTGAAATAGAAGGGGACATTTGGAAAGTAGGGGGTTCCTCTCCTAATTGGGAGTATAGGAGGAGTACCAAAATAACCAGGGTATTGCATCTTTAAAGGAAGGAAAATCCCCCACTCTACCTGCTGATTTAATTGTCTCCAAATTCAAAAAGAGATGAATTTGACAGAGTTATCTTTCTTTTAATACAGGTTATATGCACAAATTCTTAAAAAAAAAAAAACCCATTCAAAGTGTTTTGAAGTGTGATGGGCAAACATAAACCTTAATGAGTACTTTCATACAAATTGATCTGTAAGGTTGTTCTTGTACTAACAGTACATGTCTGATTTGCTCCATTCTCTGTAGGTGGCCAGAAGCACGGCTGTTGCTGATGAGGCTCTAGGTAATGTCAGGACTGTCAGAGCTTTTGCCATGGAAACAAAGGAAAATGAGTAAGTCTTACAGGAGTTCAGTTGATACAATCAAGAAAAAAAAGAATGACTGAAAATTGACTGTAGAAGGATGGAGGACTATATGTGTATAGTCTTTTACATCCACTTTACTCTCTTGACACATTATGAATTTTATCATAAAAAAATAAATTCTGTTTAATACTTTATTTGAATTTAAAAAAAATGACTATTAGTTTTAAATGAATGCATCTTTGATTTAATATTGCACATTCGTTGATCATTCCAGGTTATTCAGTCAGCAAGTGGAGTTGTCAAGGAGAATGAATATTAATTTAGGTTTTGGAATTGGAGCATTTCAGGGTCTAGCCAACATAGCTCTAAATGGTTAGTAGTTTTATTCCCATTTACTTCAGTTAGATTAAAGATCACGTTAGATTCTCTCTTCTATCCAAGCTTATTTTTTGCCCTATATGCCTTTCAAGATTCATAGACAAAACATTATAGTATTTTACAAGTACACTGTAATTTACAAATTCATAAAGAGTTTTCAACAAGCACTGAATCGACTTGATAAATTACAATTCCTGCTTTGTTTTGTAGGCATTGTGTTAGGAACTCTCTTTGCTGGAGGAAGCCTAATGTCGGGAGGGCAGATAACTGCTGGGGATCTCATGTCCTTCTTAGTGGCCTCTCAGACCATTGAAAGGTACAGATCCATTTAAGGCTCAACAACTATGGATGGGGAAAATGTTTTTATCTGTATCATAAATATTTATCAACTATAGCTCACATGGATTTTGCCCCATTTTAAATTGTTTTAATTTATATCATATATATTTATCTCAAAGTTATTATACTGGGTAAATTTCCCTGTGTACAGTATTTATATCCAAATTGATGAATTAATGGTACCTCCTGCTAAAATAAAGAAAGAACAGTCATATGAAGAGAGGTAACTCCCATAAAAGAGTTAACTTTTGCATAAGATTAACAATCCCCCACCCACCCCACCCACCCCCAATGTAAGAGGGATAATGTAACATTCACCTTTAAGGACAAACAAAATGCCTATAGGTTTAAAAACCAGTTATCATAATAGTTAAAATGTTTTGAATTTACATTTGATTTTTTTGTAGATCACTTGCCCAGATGTCTTTCTTGTTTGGTAATGTTGTTAAAGGAATGAGTGCAGGAGCCAGAGCATTTGAGGTACATTGTGATAAAAGTAGTATCATATCAGTAGATTGTGATTACTTTGTAAAGACACATCTTTGAAACATGAATAAAAAAACTGCAGGAAAAAAATATTTAATATTACTAAATTCAACAGTTTATTAATCATCAACCAAAGATTCCAATACAAGGAGGAAAGACCATCCCGTACTACTCTATGCATGGTAATGTGGAATTTGAACATGTCAACTTTTCCTATCCAACACGAGCAGAACAGGTAAATAGTAGAAGTGGTCAACATTTGCTTTATGATCTGATGTAGTTACAATTATATATTTTATTTCTCTTTTACTTCTGCACACATCAGTATATCCTGCTAATGCCAATATACACTGACAATTTAAGGAGGCTTCAGCAAAATTGACCATTTATATGACCATCATATCATCACCAGGAATTGGTTCTGGATCCCTCCTGATTAATATATATTGACTTTGCTTACCTTTAACCTCTCTTTTTAAAGTAATTTAGCTGTAATAATCTATATAAATACTTCTATTTTTAATACATTAAAGTGAGTACAGCTAAGTATATATGGCAACAAGCTGTAATGATAGAATTTTTCTTTATTTACAATATTTTTTACCTTCTAAATTTCAGAAAGTTTTAAAGGACTTTTGTCTTAAAATCCCCAAAGGAAGTGTGGTGGCTTTAGTTGGACTCTCTGGAGGAGGTAATATCAGCGTTAATATTGAGTTATCTTTCTTTGTACACCTGTCACATTTTCTCGTGTTTTCTTATGTAACTTTATTTTTTAGGTAAATCAACTGTGGCGGCTCTGCTGGAGAGGTTTTATGACATTGAGAGCGGGAAAATCAGTATAGACGGAGTGGATTTACGGGAACTGGACCCCTCATGGCTACGCGGGAAAGCTATTGGCTTTATCAATCAGGTACAGTGATTCTTTACTTAGCAATTATAGATTGAAGGATCATACAGTATATCAGATCTGTAATTTGTTCAGTTTGAAACTTTAGCATACTCTCTGTTTTGACATGCCATATACATGTAACAGGATTTATTTTTGTACAAATTTGATGTCAACTTCCTGTTTATCCTGCATCTGTGCATAGCAAATATTTTCATCACAGTTTTCTAAGCAAGTACATTTTTCCTTAACTGAACTTGTGTATATTTATAATTACATGAGAGCATATATTCACATCACAGTGGGGGGTATTGCTAGTGAGCAATGGCTCACAGACTTCTTGTTTGTTTAAAGATTTGAGCTGTTTAGTCTTTTTTGGCAGTTTGAATCAAAATTCTAAATCATGTAGATTTTTATAATTTTAAACTTGAAAAATTCTTGTTTGTTTAAAGATTTGAGCTGTTGAGTCCTTTTTGGCAGTTTGAATCAAAATTCTGAATCATGTAGATTTTTATAAATGTAGACTTGATAAATTCTGGACAAGCCTCTTCCAAAAAATCAAAATCAAAATTTTATCAAAACTTCTTTATAGAAGAAGTTCCTGACATATGAAAAATATTTTTTGGTTGTTTTATTGAAGAATGACAGGAATTTGATTTGTCTAATGGTAATGGTGTCCTAAAACTGTGTCAATTGCTCAAATACATGAATGAATTAGAGTCACTGCATTGAGAAATTGCTTCTCAAAAATATATAGGTACTACTAACTTAAGGTTGTAATGGGTGTAGGGATATTATGGATGAACAATTTTATGTGAATTTCTGCCGATTTTAAATGATTTATTTGGTATTATCAGCATATCGGTATGTGTATATACCATGCTGTCCCAGGCTGACATAGGCTCTAAGTTATGTCTTCATAATAGAAGCAGATCTTATCTGGTTTAGAATAATTTTTGTAAACACCAATTATTTTGTCATCCATTATAATTCAATATTTAAAAAGTTTCCACTTAAAGGAGATATTTAATAGAGCATTGTAACCAAGTATTTTATTGGTTGATATTTACAAATGTATATATCATTATGAACTATCCAATCAATAGACAGATTGTCTATTTCTAGCCAGATTATAGGTTATAGTAATCTGATAAGATCTGCCTGCAGGAATGTCGATAAGTACCCAGTTAGATGATTTATAACTAATTATCTGCCATTTTCAATTATCCCAAGATTAATCATCAGAATGTTCTACGAAATATTAAAATATATTGCGAAAATTGTTCACAAACTTTTTGCACTGACATATAACAAAAATATATTAAAGTGCAGTACACTCCTAGGTTCATCAATATACTTGAATTTTGTTAGTCATATTTTGTTCATGAAAACCTATTGTTCACTAATCAAATTGATTTTGAATTACCATATCTTTAATGAATTCCAAATCTTTATAAAAATCCTTACAATTAAAGATACATAGTGGGATCTAAAATTCTTCTACCAGTAAAGCCCCTTTCTTTATTCCTCATGCAAAGTTTAACAGCAGTGAGGAGAAACTTTAACAGGAGATATAGTAACAATATTGTAGAAGTGCTGTTATTCAAATCCAAATACTTAAAAGCCATACTTTGTAACAACTTTAATTCTAGACTTATATACATATATGTACATGAAGAAGCTGTAAATTGAAAAGTCTTCAAACCTGCTGTGGTTTAAGTATTGATGGCATAAACATGCATGCCTTATGTGCATGATAGAAAACAACTATTGCATCTGTTACCTTGAAAACAGTTAGATGCAATAATTTTTAGTGTTCACCTGAATGGTGTTAGAGGGAGCTTAGATGGATACCCTCAGTGTTGTTAATGGTGTCAACATCAGTGTCGGTGTCGGCGTCCCAGGTTAAAGTTTTTGGTTCAGTTTTCTTTTAAAGTACTTCTATGCTGTACATTAATCAGAGATGCATGAATGAGGCTTCTAGCATGTTTCATTGTACCAGTCAAGGTTAGAGATGCCATTTTTAGCAAAGGAATGACCAAGTTAATGTGTTTAGAGCAGGTTAAAGTTTTTGAAGCAGGTCAGTTTCCAAGTAACTATAAACCATATGTTGACTACATTTGCATGGCTGATACATTTAAGGGTGCACACTGCCAAGCTTGCTTTAAATGCTGGATCTGATCTACCTGAATGAGTGACCAAATTTAACTTTTTTGAACAGGTTCATTCTAAAGTAACTATTGGCCATGCATTGCCGAATCTTGCATAGATGGTACATCTAAAGGTGTGGTCACAGATACGACACACTCGACCTATAAAATAGTCGATTGGTCGGGTGGTTCCAATTTGAGTTCGATTTTCAAACGATTTTCAGCAAGAAATGAACAGGTACTTGTTATAACTTTTAAGATAGAAGTACATATATTTCTGTACAAAGATTTGAATTTTTCAAAATAAATTTTACCCCATTATGACGTTGATGTTGACATAGTGTACACAGTACACTACGTCAATGATCACTCAAAAGTAGATGTGTACTTTCTACTTCGCCAAAAAAAAAAAAAAAAAAAAAAAAATCTGCAATATATTTTGGTCTACCAACAAAGGTGAAATAATTTGGATCACAAAAGTAAACTTTGTATGATAGGCTAACCGTTGATGAAAAAAGAATAAATGAATAGGCGAGAAACAGTTTATAAAACGCTCTTCAAGAGCTGATAAAAGCGGAACAAAATTAATATTGTGTAGTCACTTAAAGGATAGACTTTTTTTATTATATAATTAAAAATAATAATTCTTTTTCAAAGTATAAATTCTACTGAGAGTATGTGAATTAATTGATTATTGAAACGTTTTAAGGAAATTACTGTTGATTATTGTAGAAAAAATTGTGTTAGAGAAATAGGAGTTCCCCTTCCCCTCCCAAATCATTGACATCGGAAGCAAATTGAAAGGGGCTGGACTAAGTGCAAGAGAAAGTAAACAAACTTACAAGCAAAACTTTGTCAACAAGCAAAAATATGTGTCCATTGGTCAAATTCGAAAACCATATTTTTTGAAATTTGTCTGTAGTACCATTTTTTTACAAACACTAGGCCTACCTCTTACGTAAAATTCAACTTGCGTCTTGAGGGGGGGGGGGGGCTAAACCTACACCCCAATATATAAATGTTTAATGCCTATATTATGTCTATCTTTCTTTTTAAAAAGTGGGAGAGGGGGGCTAATTCCTCCAGGTTCTGACGCCTATACAAATAATACCATCACTTAGTTAAATGTACGTGTAATACGTTGTATTCGTATGTATTTTAATTAAAGCGTTCGCCCTCAAGAGATTAGTAACTTTTTTAAGATTTATATAAAAATAATTCGTTTATTTATTTTAAACTTGTAACATACAGAATGAAGTTGTCACTTGGGGTTTCTCCTTAATAATTGCTTTGTTTTGTAGATACCGGTAGTAATTAACAGCGATATAAGAAATGCCTGAAAGATCTTAATTTTAATCAGTAACATGTACAGTGTATCCTAATTTTAAAATAACCCATTTTTGATAATATTCACGAATTGAATGAAGTGTAATCTATTAAATTCAGCTCTTAAATTATCAAAAAAAAAAAAAAAAAATATTTGTGATAAATCAGATAAATCATAAATGCATAATAAAGACCCCCTTGCAAACTTCGGTTGAAAAAAAATGCATATTCTGGTAATTTTTTCTTTTCCACAGAATGTTTTTGGGTTTAGGAGTTTTCTTTTTATTTCATTACACAGGTGTATTTATATATAAAAAGTTAAAAACTGTTATTATTTTGCATGTTTTATTTTAATTTCGTGTCGCGGGAAATGTCATTGTGACGTCACGACAGAAAGTGGATTACGGCCATCCTTCCAAACGACTTTCAGACTTAAATATGGCGGTAAGATTTTGTCGAAAGCAAATCTCGGAAGGTAAATCGTATTGTGTTTAAGTACACACTACCTATAAAATAAGGCTTATTTGAGCTTGCTCACATTACCTATAGTTCCATTTGAATTTTTGAAATAAAAAAGAAAATGGCTATGATGCAAGTGTGTTTATGTATTTTGGAGGGATACAAGTATATTAATTTGAAGAAAAAAAGAAACTTGTCCATTGGATTGGAATAATGCAATTGTGCAGAATACCTCACTTATTATTTGTATTTGCATAAACGTGTGGCTACTTGTCTTTTATGACACACAATTACAATAAAATGCTATGCATGTCAATTTTTGAAATTTGTCTGTACATGAAAATTCCCCTCTGGAGAATTTAAAGAAGCATAATTATTACATTTAAATTTAATCATTTTTAGGTCACCTGAGTAAACTCAGGTGACCTATTGCTATCTGTTTTCGTCCGTCGTCGTGCGTCGTCTGTCGTGCATTAACATATTTCACAAGAACATTTCAACCAAATTTGGCACAAAGCATCTATGGGTGAAGGGGAACAAAAATTGTGAATTTTATGCTGGCCTGTGTTCAATTAAAAATCTTCTTCTTTAGACATGTCAAACTGTTTTGATTGTAATGTGTTTACCAAAATTGTGAAATTCATGTGGGTGTGTTGAAAATGCATTATTTCATCTTCTTCATGCAAGGTATTAAATATACAACTACATAGTTATGATGAGCAAGAGTGCCTCTACCAAAATTGTGAATTTTTGGCCCCAGGGTCAGGGGTTCTGGTGTAAGGGCCCTATTGATTATATGTGAAAATACATAATTCTTTGAAAATCTTCTTCTCTGGATTAACTTTGCAATTTCTTCAAGTTTTAGATGATTATATAGTGAAATGCATGTATTCTTTGAACATCTTATCCTTTGCTCCTGGTTAATATACATGATTAATTAATATAAGGGCATTAACATTTTCAAAACAAGGTTTTGAATTTTCAGAAAAAAATAAAACAAATGATAAAATTTAAAAAATGATGACAAATTTTAACCTCGCACTTCCGGTTTTAATGTATGAAACGGCGGGTAAATCTACTGGGATGGTTTAGTGTAAAATTCATCAATTACGAGTGCCATTCAAAACGTTTCGCCCTTCAAAGGACAAAATGCTAGGTTGACTTTGTTAAAATTTGTATTCGTTTCAAAAGTATTATTTTTCAGGTTTTAAACTTTCTATTGCATATTGCCAGCGACATTGTTTAGGTCTCTGTTATAGCTTACCTAAGCACATCAGAAAAGGGTTGCTTTATAGATGTAATGAATAAAACTATGGGAGAAGAGAAGAAGAAATATAACCTGAAGTGTTCAACTATTAAAAGGCAAGAATATACAAATACATACAGGCATGTAGTATCATTTGTATAAGCCAGAAAAATTATTTTACACTTAACTTAATTGAAAAAATGTTTATCCAATAACAATACACCCTGTCTGTTTTATGATAGGAATATTATAATTTTAGGCAACAAGTAATGTCTATACATTTACCTAACACATATTTAAAAAATCAGATATATTGAAAGACTTTTAAAGAATTGATTTTTTAAAATATATTTTAAACATCACAAAATTTAAATATAACTTTGTTAAGCAATTAAATGTTCTACTTTCCTATTTGTCAAGTGTCAGTGGTGGACCAAAATGGTTAAGAAAAGAATGTACAAATGTTAATAATTGATTTATCAAAATTTTTTTTTTATCCTCACCCAATTCCTAAACTTTAAAAAAATAATGAAGAAAGGCCTCTTTCAAAATAGATAAACCCACATGTAAAATAAATTAATGCTTTGAAATCTGTTGATAAGCAATTGTGCCTCCTTCAAAATTTGTGAATTTCATGATTATTAACAAATACAATCCTGGAAAGTTGTTACATTTGTGACCTATAAGGCCCGTGGGCCTCTTGTTAAAGTATATAGTATTGTGAGGTTGACTGTATTTTTTAACATGTACTTTAAAATTTGATTGTTGATATATGGATACATACCACTTTAATTCAGTCAAGAGGCATGGTGATATTAAATATTACTCCATATTTTTAAAATTCCATTCATAATGACCCCCCCCCCCCAAAAAAAAATCAAAATTATTCTAAAGTTGATTACATTTATTAAGATGCAAGACTTTGTTAAATATTCTGGTACTGGATTAGTCACCTTTTTCAGATAAATATGCTTTGTGCACTGTAAAATGATTTGTCACCTACATGTACAAATTCATTCACCTGAGAAAAGCCATTTACCCCCAATGAAGCAACTAATGTATATTTTTACTATATCCTTTTTCTGTAGACCATATATTAGGTCCAAAATAGATTTGTGTGCCAGGCAAGGATATGCGAGGTCATAAATATTTCACAAGAACATTAGGTTTTTCCCACTTGGAAATTATGCTGGCCTGTGTTCATTAAGAATGTATGTTTTGTTGTGTTTATTCATTTATGTGGGTGTGTTTTACACATGCAAGGCATATACCTACATAGAACGACTCTTTCATCAAGGCCCCAGTTGGGAAAATTAATTTACTACCTATTAACTTTGCAATTTCTTCAAGAGATGTAGTAGGCTCAAGCTGATTATCTGGGAACAAAATATAAATCAACATTTTCAAAACAATATGATTAATTCAGCATAATGATAATGAATAAAAAATGATGAAAAATTTTAACCTATACAAGTAGCCTACTGGGATTAATTTGTCAATTTTGCTTCAAAACATCCCTCTTCAAAACAAAAGCTAGGTTGACTTTTAAAATTTGTAATGAGTTCAGAATTTCTTTATTAATCCCCAAACATCAGCTTATGCTAATAACTCAAAAGAAGGTATTGTGATCCAGAAAAGCAGAAATTTAAGGGAAGCGGAAACATACCCATAATTTATCCAATAACAAACACCCTGTCTATTTTAAGATGTCCCATCAGTTAATTTGCTTTTTAAAAATTTTTTTGTTGAATTAGATGTCAAGGATTGCACCAAAATGGTTGAAGTAGGCAGTGTTATTTTATATTCACCCAAGTCCTTAGGTAAAACCCACACGCTGTTTTTGTTTTTTTGCTCAATTATAACAATTTCCTAGTTTTGTGATAAGTAAAAAAAAATGGTCTTGAGTCAATTAATTTGTGTTTTCAGAGAAACCACTCGGTAGAAATAAGAAAACACAAAATGTGGAATGGATACTAACTTCCTTACATAGAATTCAAATATAAGCTTTTGCTACAGCATACTCAAAATCTTCCTTATTATGGGTGCTATCTCCCTCATTGAGTCATTCCTTTTTTGTAAATTAATATAATTTTTTAATGCTTGACTTAATTAACAGTTTTCATTCAATTGCAACAAACATGTGACCTGGTGTAAATAAAAGACTTTACAATACACATTTCATTTATATACCAGTAGAGCAACAGTCTCTTCAGAAAGTTCTTATTTGAAATTGTGGTTATACTGTAGATCACTTAATTTTTCGCGACACCTTATTTTCGCGAGATAGTCATTGACTCTTTATCAGCGAGACAAAATTTTCACGAATTGTGTTTGTTGCTCTATATAATCTTAAGGAATTCTATTATTTGCGAGAATGAAATTTTCGTGAGCATACCGTCTTGTGTAATTATGCGAAAATAAAGTTCTCGCGAATAAAAAGTGATTTACAGTACATAAAACACGCTTATAAATAACAAAGTGCCAGGGATGGGCAATTTTGCTGCATTTCAAACATTATTTGTAATATATCTGTTAAGTTTACAACATATTTTAAATTGATTAACTCACTTCCTTATATGCATCAATTTGTTATAAGCTTGTTTGCTACAAGCATATTTTACTGTACATATTTGATTTTTTTTTTTTGCCTAATATTTCACAGGAACCCGTTTTATTTGCTACTTCTGTGATGGAGAACATTAGATATGGCCGACCTGATGCCACAGATGTGGAGGTATGGAGCATAGTTATATATCTCATATACTTCTTTAAACAATCTTCTCTTTGGTGCATCTTATAATACCCTGTTCATACTCATAGGTATATTTTATTCAAACAAAATTGCTCCATGTTGTTGAACAGTTTGCTCCACGTCATAATCAAATTTGCTCCACATGCAAATGAGTAAATTTGCATACATTTGTACCTTACAATTCCATTGAATTTTATCAATTTCCATTAAAATCTAGGTGATAGAGGCAGCCACCCTGGCTAATGCTGACGGTTTTATTCGCTCCTTTCCTGAGGGGTACAGTACAGTCCTCGGGGAGAGAGGGGTCACTGTGTCCGGGGGACAGAAACAGAGAATAGCCATAGCCAGGGCACTCATCAAGAATCCCTCCATAATGGTGCTGGATGAGGCAACAAGGTATTGGACTGTAAATGTTATACTGAAACAATCATTTCTTTTGATATTTATCTCAAAATGGACGTTGAACAACATACAATCAATCAATAGATTGATTTTTAGCTCACCTGGAAGGCTCAATTTAGCCACTGGTGAAGGCCTCCTGTTTTCTATTTTCCTTGTTTTCTTCGTAGCTGTTGAAAACTTTCTCCATTATTTGTCTTCCTCTCAATGTCCACTAGGTCAATTTTAACAAACTGGGCACAAAGTATCCCTGCATGTGTAAAAGTTATTAATTTTTTTTTTCAAATGAAGGGCCAAATTTTAGTCCAAAAGGAGATAATTAAGTAATAGTGAAAATTAGGAGCTCATTTAAAAAAAAAATCATCTTCTCTAGAATCACTGGGCAAGAAATGATGAGTCTTATGAGATATAGCTACAAGACATTGTGTAAAGATTTAAGAGGATGAAGAACACATGGTCACATCACGTCACTCTCTTTAACTATTTGTCAGTCTCCATTTATATAAACTCAACATGTGTAAACCATCAGTTCTTGTATAAAGTCTCAACAATTTGTTTTACTTTAACTACCATCTTATATCAAAATAAAAAGTTTTAACTATCTTGTAAACATTAGCAAATTACAGAATACTGTAGAAGTACTTCTTTCTGCGTGGTATTAGTTTACGCTATGTACGTGGTTCACAAATTTTCCATGGAAATTTGTCCATGCGTACTTAATATAAATGTAAGGCATGTAGTGACAATCTGGAAAACCAGCGTAATTTTCTACCCACGGATTAAATAGAAATGAGATTCTGAGGAATTTTGAACCCTTGGAAAAAAGTACGTCTACAGTATGTTTGGTTCCATATATTTTCTTTTGATAAATATTTATGATATTACTGAAAAAAAACAAAATCAAATAAGAATGTTTGCAGATGACTAATCCTTGTTTGTTATTGTTGAATGCAACACAGTTAAATGTAGTCTAAGATCAGAATTTCCCTTACTGCTGACCATAAAAAATAAGGCAGTGGTCTCATCAATGGACCCTAATAAGACCGTAAATTTCAAGTTTACTAGAACTCAATGAGTACACTCAAATATTTTTTTTTTTCATTTGGGAACACAATGAATATAATTTCCGAGAAGTCATTGTCACCTATGACTGACATTTCAGTCTAACGGGGGTGGTTGAAACATATTACATGTACAACAATCTATGAAAAAGCTTGTATAAGACTTAGTATATTGCACACACTAAAAAAGGGATTCCATGTTTAAAATATACCTATCATATGTTCAACCAGTAGTAGAATTTGTACATGTGGTATATTGGAAAGTGTGAAGGTCAAAGCTGCAATAATAATTACTAGCATAAGGTGTAATTCTTTAAAATGACTTGGGATGGGAAACTTTAAGTTCAAGAGGTGAAATTTATTAGCTCACACTGATTTATATAATACCCAATAACCTTAACCTTGATTAGATGAATAATATGCTAGAAGGATGTATACTAACTCAGCATAATTATAACTTTTGCAAGCCAAAGTCATATTGAATCATAATTATTAGAACAGTGTTTTACTACAATAGCTTTATATCATCCACACCTTGTGGAATAATTTACCTGATTACCATGAAAATTCCCTAACATTTCAATTAAAAAAAAAAATAGTAAACTCCACCACTCTGATCCAGAAATATATATATATACAAATTGTACAATTATGGTAATGGAATTGAAAATATATTACCCCGCTAGTTAAAGTTACATAATGAGTCAGCTTTTTTGTTTCTTTTTAAAAGATAATTGTACCATAAAGCGAAAGATTTGTGTGAAGTTTGAATAAAGTGAAGTTTTGACAAATAGTCTGCAGTGTATATAACCAAAAAAAGAACTGCAAAATATAGGTGCGGGAAAAACAATCATGTTTCATCATGTTGTTGTTATCGTTAATGTCAGCATGCAATGTCAAGGTCATGTGCAATTCTCTGGTTTGATTTGAACATATTTTATTGTCTATAAACTTTACAAATGGTATTGTGCAAAAGTTCTAGAAATTTATAAACCCTTTCCCTATACACATTAATTAAACCTGCAAACTTATTTACAAATTAAGATGAGTTTCAACTTCAGGAGGAATGCCACACCAGAATTTTATTTGATAGATTTTTAAGAGATATTATTTTTATATAATATGGTTTCAGCATTGAAAGACTAGTACATGTATAAGCTTTCAATTATTGTCGAGTTCAACTATATTTTAATAATATAAATTTCAGTGCTTTGGATGCAGAATCAGAGAAGATAGTTCAAGCAGCATTAGATAATATAGTAAAAGGTAATCAAAAGGATTTAAAACATTTTTATTTTATTTTGATATATTCAGCTATAGTTTTTAATGTTTGTTTTTCTTTATTAAACATTTTTTTCCTTTGATATAGGTAGAACAGTGTTGATTATAGCACACAGACTTAGTACAATCCGTGATGCTGATATCATAGCTGTCGTATCTAATGGTCAGATTGTGGAAGTAAGTCAAAAGTTTTCTTGGTAAACTTTTATCAAAAATTCAATTTCCTTTAGTTTAATTAGCATCAGTTATTAACAGTTACGGTACTTTTTACAAGAGAATACTAGCTAATACTTAGTTCCTAAAGCAAAAATGTTGGTGTTCTTTGCAGCAAGGTACCCATGATGAGCTAAAAAAGAAGAAGGGGTTGTACTGGGAACTGATTAAAAAGCAGGAATTGGAGGAAGAGATTGAAACCCATCAGTGGGGGAGGCCTGAATTCTAGACAGATTGGGGGAGGAGTGGGGGAGGCCAGAATTCTAGACAGATTGATTGGTATTCACACCACACATGACAGAAATCACCCACATATATTTTAATGGCTGAATACACATTAATATTAAGATACCTGTATTTGTTGAATGTGCCAAATAAAGTCACAGTGGGAGCATATTGATTAGAATTATTTTTTTCTTTGCTTTATAGATAAATAACAAACTTTTCTCCCTATAAATCAGCAAAATAATTTGATCTATATTTATATTTAAAAAAAAAAAAACAGAATTATGAGCAATCTGAGTGATCCTGTAGTTGTAATTAAGTGTTTATTTTTAATCAAGATTTGGAGCAATTAATATTCATGATTTGGGCTGCTATGATATGCATTTATGATAAGAGTGGGCTGTATGTATCACTGTTTTAATTAAAATATACTGAGATATTAATGTTATATAATATTAATATGTAATTCCCCTTAACTGTTTTTCTTTAAATTTGCTGGTGGGTGTAATACAAATTGTAGAATAATTTTGATCTTCAACACTCCCCAATACATGTAAATAATAATAATAAAAAAATAGGACAGGATCATACTGTGAAAATTAATTATCTAAATTTTAAGTACTGAGTGTGAAATGCTCTTTATGAATTTATTTATCATATTAAATATGTACATGCTTGAAACAGTTCATTTTCATGCTTGGAAAGGTATACTATGTATACTTATATGAAATAAATGTTCTAGTACATGATGCAGGTAATTTTATTATGGTGAAGATATATCTATACAGTGTGTAAAATGATGGTAAGAGAGAGGTCTGTCTTTGCTTACATATCTTTTTTTTTACTTATATATACGTGATGAATGTGCACAATACCTGTATTGTATATACCAATGATGGTAATTTAATTTGCGCATAATTTAATGTTTTCAATAAATGATTTTAAAAAATGAACTTTTATATTCTTTATCCTTTGACCATTAACCATTATGCGGAAGTGGGATTTGAGCTTAAAGTCAGTTACATGTATATTAGCATGCTTTAATAATGCTACAAACGTGTATTCGTGATCATCTACTTTTTACCGCAATAGAATGAAAAATGCCATCTAATTTGAATCATCTTAAATAGTAAACTATTAAACATTATAAAAGGTTACTGAAAAGTTGTGTGCACAAATGTTTCGTATTAAAGCCACGTGTGTCATGATTGTAAACTACATAAACATGTAGTACTATCAACATTAAATACGAGAATGACTCAAGAATATTGGTAGTGCTAGTAGTTTTTAGCTCACCTGAGCCGAAGGCTCAAGTGAGCTTTTCTGATCAAAATTTGTTTGTTGTCTGTCGTTGTCGTTGTTGTCGTTGTCGTCGTCGTCATCTGCGTAAAATTTTCACATTTTCATCTTCTTGTCAAGAACCACTGGGCCAAATTTAACCAAACTTGGCAAAAAGTATCCTTGGGTGAAGGGGATTCAAATTTGTTCAAATGAAGGGCCACGCCCTTTTCCAAGGGGAGAAATCATGAATTTATTAAAAATTAATGGCACTTTTAAAAAATCTTCTTCTCCAGAACCGCTTAGGAAAGATCAAATATATCAAGTACATGAAGCATCCTCAGGTAATTTTGTAGATTCAAATATATCAAATATATACAAGGGTGTGTAAAATGACCAAAGTTTTACATAGGAGAGAGGAAAAATCTTTAAAAATCTTCTTTGAACCACTGGGCCAGGAAAAATGAAACTCATGTGGAATCATCCTCAGGTAGTGTAGATTCAAGTTTGCTTATATATACCCCCGGGGCAAGGGTGGGACCAAAATGTGCACAGTTTTACATAAGAATATATAGGGTATATACCACTGAGGAAAGATGAAACTCATTAATTTGCGGATAGTGTAATTTAAGTTTGTTTTCAATAAATGATTTTAAAAAATGAAAAAATCTTTAAAAATATTCTTTCAAGAACCACTGGGCCAGGAAAAATGAAACTCATTGGAATCATCCTCATGTAGTGTAGATTCAAGTTTGCTCAAATCATGTGGGCAAGGGTGGGACCAAAAGTCTAGTTTTACATAGGAATATATAGGGAAAATCTTTAAAAATCTTCTTCTCCAGAACCACTGAGCCAGGAAAGATGAAACTCATGTGGAATCATCCTCGGATAGTGTAGATTTTTTTCAAATCATAGAAGGGTGGGGAAAAATGCCAAGTTTTACATAGGAATATATAGGAAAAATCTTTAAAAATCTTCTTCTCAAGAACCACTGGGCCAGGAACGATGAAACTCATGTGGAAACAGGTAGTGTAAAAGTTTGTTCAAATCATGACCCCTGGCAAAGTTGGGTGCACAAGTTTTAAATAGGGATATATAGAGAGACCTTTTAAAATTTTCGTGTGTCAAAGCTATGATTAGTGATATTTATATGGAATCATCCTCAGGTAGTGTAGATTCTAGTTTGTTAAGTGATGAACGCCTGGACTAAAGAATGTGCTCAGGTGAGCGCTGTGGCCCCTGGGCCTCTTGTTTTTTTTTTGTCCTTGGTAGGATGGAACTAGCACTATGGTGGTTTTGATCTTGGATCCGTGCCGTCTTGCTCCTGTCTCCCTCGACCAAATTGCCCACTACATCAATATGGAGTTGATTCATACATTTTGTAATTAACACTATAAAAAGCACTACCAGGTCTATACAATACCAATTCAGAAAACAACTAGCATTTTTTAATTAAAAAAAAAATAACCCCACCTCCACCCCACCCCTCGCGCTGGTACGATGATACGGACACTGGAAAATCTTTCTCTTTTTTAATGAATTGTTTGAAATAACCCTGCATGTTACAGTCTGAATTTTTTTTTTTAAAGTTTAACAAAAAAGCAAGATGACAAATGAGCTGTATAGACGGGATTCGCTTGACAGACTAGTCCGAAATATCGGACGCTTTCCAGGCTTTTTACGATTTTGATATTTTATGTGCTAAGTTCTCCTGGCAGGTAAAATATCAAAATCGTAAAAAAAAAAACACTGGAAAACGTCCGATATTTCGGACTATTGGCAGACTAGTACTGTAAGGTGAACATGTTAACCTCTTTTCCCGCACAACATCAAACTATTCTGCATGTTGAGACTCATTAATATTAATATATTGATTCCGCTCTTTCCCGCAAACATGCCAAAGGTCCGCTTCAATCACGGACGTCCTGCTGTAGATAAAAGAATGTTACGCTAGATAATGGCAAGAGTACAAGAAATCTAATCACGAGCGTATTCCATGAATGCAGCTTTACATGCAAAATTACTGTAACAATACCGTAACAATAAACAATATTATAAACATGGATATAATCCACAAAATTATGCACATGCAGGTTGATAATTTTGTGAACGATATTCACGTGCATTTGGATAAAATATCCCTGTCTTTTTACAGTAATTTTGCAACTATGGTTGTATATATCGAAATGCAGGCTTAGGGTTCGAATCCGCTCGACCAGGTCAAGTGATGTTGCATAGTATAGACATGGTTTCTAGGAGATTTCCGACTTTGTGTTTCTTTTATTTTGTGTTTTGAAGCAGAACAGTACAAATGAATTACATATTGTACTTGAAATGTGATAACAAAGACATTTTCAAAAGAGTAAAAATAATTTTCTAAATTAATTACTTAAATAGATAGAATAACAACAAAAGCAAGAAAAATGGTCCAATATTGCAACTTTTCGTTTTCGGTCCCTGGTTTCCTTACCACCCAGTGGTCTGTCCGGTACCAGCTTGGGCGTGAGGCGTCCTCCCTCCCACCCCCAGCCGCAGACCCCTCTCTAAAAATGGTTTCCCGCTATTTTGAATTCCTTTCATTCTGTTCAAATTCTTATGAAAAAAGCATCATCAGAAGATGACATTTATTTGGGAAGTAAATCAAATATAAATTTTAAAATGTCTAATTTTTTTTATTGCATGTTTGGTCTAATTAATCTATCGAGTATTACACTTTAAAAATATGTACATGACGCAAATTGTAATAAAAAGCTATCGTTGCATTTAGTACACATGTATGAATCTAACCGTAAAGGCCTAAAGGGTAGATGTACAACAAATAATCCCTGCTTTTAGATTGATGAAAAGCTCCACATTTGTATTGTATTAAGGTATTTCCTTAAAAATGCAACAACAACAAAAATGTACAACTGTATTATAGAGAAAAAATCGAATACGAGTAACAAAGTGATTGCTTATAACATTCCGTTGTTAAATTTTGTGTTCTCATAGGACAATGCAATGTTTTTTTTTTATCTTTCGAGAATGGAAAATTATCAACTCTCTGAGAGGAAAGATTATCTATAAACAAATATTCAAACACCAGTGTGAGCTAATAAATTTTATATAAAAAAGATTTTTTTTTCAATTTATGTTTATTTTCAAATACATGCACATATACAATTATAGGTACTGTATAAACTATAAAGAGGAAAATCGAAAGGATTTCTTATTAACTGAGATGAGACCGCGTGTGAATATTCCAGGCGGGTGGCGGGGTGCCTGTAACACTTCAGGATCACTCTCTTGTCCGTTATTCCCCGAATAATTAAAATAAATAATGAGACTTTCACAAAATCTTTAATACACTTTGCACATTGCCTTTCTATGTCTCCTATATTCGTCTTCATTTGACAAAGCCCATGGCAAATCCTGACCGCTATTCTTTCTATAATATTTGGGATTCCCATCTGTTATCTGCAACTCTTCCTAGACCATTAAATAAAATTTACTTTTACACATTTTTCTTACACAGTACAAATAGGCACCTCCTATTTTACATTTTCAAATGGACAGATATTTGAAGTTTCCCATTGCAAAAAAATGGATTTTCCACTTTTAATCTCTGTTTGGTGGTTCTGTTAAAAATTCCAAATTCTGAAAAATCGCCCTCTACATGAAAAATGAGGACTTCATAAATTTTTGCGACATACTAGTAAACAATTTTACTTAGATGGATGAAAGCATCGAGAGATGAACATTTGCGGTGATTCATGAAACCTCTTTTTACTAACATGCGTGATGTAAAGCATACTTTTAAAAAAAGTAACGTGGCGAACTGAATAAATGAGAATTTTCATGAGAAAGACGTTTTTTACGTACATCAATTAAATTGTCAACTTTAATTACGCCAGAAATACCAAATAAGGTCCAAATTAAATGAAAATACCTCGAATACCTGGCACATGTTCGTCAATTCCATTTGTGCGATCGAATTTCTCATAATATTTGGTTGGAAAGTGTTTTGTCTTATTTTAACTCCAAAGCTAATTACGTTTGCCAAAATTTTGCAAATGCGTGGAATACATGTACTTAAACAACTGCTTGAATTAGAAAAGAAATCATATCGAGATTTTTCATGTTTTATTATTCTGATATAACAAGAAACCAACAATGAGATCAATACATAATATATTTACACATACTGAAATAGAATACATACAATAATTCTGTTGTTATCAAATAGATGGATACTAGTTGAGTCAATACTGAGATCAAATAATTCATCTTGTACATAACTTCTAGTATCAAGAGATACATGTATATATGGAGAACCACACCGAAATAAATATCTATCTTTCATAAAATACTTTGTCTTTTGATTAATTAGAATCACGGGTATTTCAAATAATAATTCTTATTTTTTACTTATTTACTTTGATCACAGATATTGATAGTACTAACAGTTTTAGTGAAGCTTCTTTCTTCACCACCCCGAAAAGTAGTGGCATCGTTCATTCTCCAGTTTGATATGTCTTTGGTCAAAACAGGCAGTTTAGATTTAATATCACAGTACTCGAATCGTATCACAACCACAAATGCAATACTGTCTTTACGATATATACAGTTCATAGAAATCACAGATAGGCAGGACAGAATTGGTACACGAGACGTTTAGAATTGGCGGTTTTCTTGATGATACCTTTTCGATAATATTGTCGTATTGAGCGACTTAATTTGTCGTAGTTCATTGCTGGTCGATTTTTCCTTTTGCCCCAGAGTTTGGCGACTTTTGGAGAGTCCTCGATTTTGAAGATTCCTTCTTGACGGTTGACCCAACGGATGTACCTATCATATCTCTCTGGTTGGAGCAGAAGTTCCTTCAGGAAGCGCCAAAGATGAATCGTCTGCTTCTGTTGATATTCTACAGGGTAGCCTGGGAGATCATCTGAAATGCAGAAACACGTGTAAATCAAATGGTTAGCTTACATGACAACTTTTACAGTGAAACATTTATCTATAGACTTAGAACTGCTTGTTGCAAATTGTATTTTTTCCCTTTGAGATGAAAAGTCCACGTTAAGGTGACGCTTAATTGATTCCATTCTATCAGTTCAAAGCTAAACATTTTGAAGAAATCTTACCAGTTTGTGTGTAAGGCGTGTCTGGTTGACTGTCATAGTAGTTATAATCCGTATAACTGTAGTAATCGGAGTATGACGACATAGCCTCGTTCTGAGATGGGTAGTCTGGATGATACCCCACGGGTTGTTGCACGGCGTTAGAGGACGAGGGGTACTCAGCAGGGGAGGACTGGTGGAAGATGTAGTCGTCCCTCCTCATCACGGACCCCGAGGCCTCGCTACATTCGCTAATCGTGGGGGATGAAACACTGTTCTGTCTGTAGTTGTAGTAATTGGGTGGTGGTACCACTGGCAACTGCTCTCTTCTCGAGGATAATTTACAAGCTAAAATAGGAAAGTCATTGTTGGAAAATATGTGTTTAAAATGGCTTTCTTTTCTGATTTTTCACTGTCTGTTCATAATTATTATAAATTCATAATATATTCATTTCTTTATTTTAAATATATCTAGTAAATTTTCAAGATGGTCACGCATATAATCATTAATCAAACAAGAATAACTTACAAATCTCTTTTATCTACTTTTCATGAAACATTTTCATTTACTTTTATTCTTATGTCTTTGTTTTAAATTATGAAAAAAAAAAAATCATTTTTAGTAATTTTTTTAATCTGATACGGTCTTTGAACAGATCTTGAGTAGAAATTATTATTTTATGGATATATACTAGATAATGACCTATATAAACGTTAAACATTTTTCTTATTTAGCATATTTGAAAGAATTGATGAGTTTTTTTTTTCTTTTAATTGTAGATCGATATAAATTATGAAACTAGAACTAACCATTTTTCCAAACATCCAGCTGGGCATGAAAGTTGGCCCCTGCATCCTTTGATCTGTGTCTAAAGTCGTCCAGGGTGAGGCAGCAGAGCTCCTCCCCACTCATACGGAATCTGTCAATGATCCCTTGGGGGGCCCCGAACTGATCCCCGTACCATACTATCCACTTGTTCACCTCCTGATTCGTCCATTGAGTGGGATCTTAATGTAAAAATAGGAGAATATTTTATTTCTTTTAACAAAAAATATGAGCGAAGATCTATTAAATAAAGGAAAACTATGATTAATTATGAAAAATGTGAAAATGTAACGAAAGAAATTTCAACTTTTAAAATTACTGTAATTTAAATGTAAAGATACGAGAATATTTTTCTCTTTCGACAAAATACGAAGGTCTATTAAATAAACGAAAACTTGGATTATTTATGAAAAATGGGAAAATGTAACGAAAGGAATTAGAATTTAAAACTATTGTAATTTAAATGTAAAGATACGAGAATATTTTTTTCATAAAAATAATACGAAGATCTATATTTCATAAACGAAGACTTTAATTGATTATGAAAAATGTGAAAATTTTACGAAAGGAATTTAAATATAAAAACTATTGTAATAATTGTTACATATATGGATTCTTAGAATAATAAATTTTAAATCGTAATATATTTTGTTTACCTGGACAAATTTCGAGAATTTGACAGATGTGTTCGATTTCTTCCTGGAGTGCCCGCAAAACAGATTCCTCAAAATTTTCTGGTTGGTGACCGGACTGATGAGGCACATATCCCTCGTGTGGTGGCGGTATGGCAGGAGAAAGATCTTCAAAGTGTGTTTCGATTTTGAGCCCTGGTTCTCTTGAGGAGTTCTGGTAGCACCTGTGCATTGAATCATCGTACACGAGAGGCGGTGGTGACCTCTCAAAGTGTCTTGCAATCTGCTCGTCTGAGACTGCCGCCATTAAAGCAGGACTCGGGTTCCGCTGCATGGGTTGAAGTAAGGTGTAAGAGGGGCTGGAATTTTCGTACTGTGAAGCCGGAGATTCTTCAGATGCCGTCATTTCGGTTTTGACAATACTGTACGTCACGTTACAGTTCGCTCCACCTCCCGACAAGCAGGGATTCTCCATCAACAGGGACTGGACGAGTCGGGGGTCAGGGGAAGATGGAACAGCAGGCGACATCAACCGGGGGTCGGGGGAAGACGGAACAGCAGCCGACATCAACTGGGGGTCGGGGGAAGACGGAACAGCGGCCGACTTGAGCCGGGGGTCGGGGGAAGACGGAACAGCAGCCGACATATTTCTAGTGTTGCCCAGGCATAGGAACGTGAACAATGGGATAATTATTACATATGATTGATTTTAAATGATGGTATGTAACCACGTGAGTTGACCGGAAAACTTCAACATGTCCTCTTATCACACTAGAGCGGACATTTCCGGACAATCTACTTGTCAATGTATTGTATCTGCAGCATTATGAGATACATTCCTTCACATGGATAGAGAGAGAGGTTCTCAAGGTCTCTTTTGACCGTAGTTGTTTCCTTGAAATATTATGACAGCTTAAATTATCCACTAGTCCCTATTTTTCTTAAAGTAAAAATTACAACAGGATTCCGCTAAAATGAATTTTAACAAATGAATATTTTTCATGATGATACAGTCACATATATATATAAATTTTGACCTCTTTCTTTCATCAGAGGTTCCGTTTTGTACCTATCCAATTAAATATGTGGTATCATTTTACTCTTATTTTATCTAATTTTTGACTCAGTCATAAACGAAATTATATAAGAAACAAAAATGCGCATGAAAAAAAAGATGATATTGAAGTAGGCGGGGTTTACCAGAATTCATATCTTCTCTGAATATTTAAATTAGATAATTTAAATTTGTCAATTAACATTTCATTATTGAAATAAATGCTGTATAATAAATCTACATTTATTATTTTTTTGTTTTGAGCGTTATATGCTTGCCAGGAACATTTTGCATTCATGGTATCTTTTTCATTGATTGAATGTAAATAATCATTTTGAAAGCAGTGTTACAAAAGATCCTGAATAGCGAATCATTGCTTTCGCACATATTTTCTCTCTTCCCCTCAGAAAAAAAATGTTTTTAAAAGTGTAATTAAAAGCACGTGTCCCGATGTATTAAGGTAATTTTTCTTTAGTATACGAACTAATCCTATGTAAAATACTCTACTATCATTATATTCAATGTTGTAAATATTGTAGCAGATTACGTTTGTGCTCAGTCATTTGTTGGGAAAGGATACTGATAGATATAAACCTTATTTTTTTGCGAATATATTTTGGGGGGATGGTACAACAAAAATGGATATATAGATGATAAGACTTTTTTTTTCTCAAGAAATTCTTTTTTGCAAATATACTTGGGGGGTGCACCAAATATGGATAGATAGATGATAAGACTTTCCCCCCAAGAAATTAGCAAAAAAGAAGAAGAAGAAGAAGAAAGAAATAAAAATAAAGTGAAACCATTGGTCTAAGAATAATCCACTGTATGTAATAAATGTATATGTAAGCATAAATGTCAGTTTAAAAAAGTAAGTAAAATTTAAAAAAAATCAAATCATGCATTTAACAAGTGTAAAAATTTTAATCAGATTACAAACATTATAAATATTTTAATTCTTTAAAGTTGAATGTTCACCCCCCCCCCCCAAGAAACCGTATGGAGACCTCTTATTGAATTGTTTAACTTCCCATATGCATAAAGACTAATAACTTAGAGGACAACTTTTTTTTTTTACTGATTATAATCATTTGGGGGGGGGGGTGCTGCTTCCTTTTCACTATAGTTTTTTTTTTCTTTGCTTTTATTGTGTTATTCCTAATTGTTTATTTTTGTTTGTTTGTACGTTTGTGTGCTTGTTTTTGGTTCATTATTAGTCCTTCGTTTGCTTTGTTTTGATCGATATTATTATGTATTCATTTATTTATTTTTGCCTTTTCACTGTGGTTTTGTTTTTGTTGTTTCTTATGTTTCTGGGTTTTTTTTTGTCTCTCCCTAATTAATAATAGAAAATATTACGAGCTTAAAATATTTATAATTATCTACATGTATTCTTGATGACAATTTTGTTTTCTCAGTATTCAAACTAAATCCGATGTTAAATATTCGACTTTCACTAATTACTTAGTCAATGCAGTTTACATCTAATATACATATAGTAGATAATTTATTTCTTTTAAACAGTTTGGAGAAGAGGATCTAAATTTCCCCTTCCAATGACAGACATACGTGTTTTTCTCTATCCTTAAATATTTAAATTTAATTTTATTGCAAATTAAGAATAGAATTCGGGGGGAAATGTTTCATATAAAAATAGATGTAGGTTCTCTATCGTGGGATGAAGTGTGTGGACACCCACTTACAACTCTACTTTTTTTTTTTTTGCAAAATCTCCCCACGTATCACGAATATGAATTTGTTTGATTTTATGAATGTGGTAAAGTTTATGTTAAGTAAGTGATAATCAACTCCCTTGCATCATAAATTTAAAACAGAAGCTTCTGAAAGAAACAGGTTATGCATGACGGATTAAAATGACCAAAAAATTCCCCTTTCTTTTTACAAGATAAAATGGGAGGTTGGGAAATACTCAATTGCTAACAAAACAATCTAAAAAAATATAGGTAAAAAAAATATATAAACAGGTACATGTACGTGCTAAATACGAGTTAAATTAGCTTTCACAACACTGACGTAAAAGAAAAGGTACTTTAATGCACCGAAGCCCTGAATATAGATATTAATTTCAAATTCACGTTACTTTCATGACAGTTGGAACTTTGATCGCAATAACCGACTTTACAGGGGGGGGGGGGTGTTACTGTAATATTTTAAAGTTTTCTCTACAAAAAGAGCCAAAACTTACACTTGATTAAGTAAATGACTAAAACCCTCTACAAGAATTTACATGGATTAAGACCTATTTCATAAAGAAAATAAGTAGAATAAGATGTGAAAGATCTATTTTAAAAAGACATTACTAATTGTACATATAAAATAATTTAAAATTTATTAAAAATTAATTTTACTTATATGATATAAATTCACCCAGATAATTTCAACATTAAAAAATGTACAAATATTGATTCGGTTGATTTACCGGTATAATGAATTAGAATTTTATATTTTTTTAATCTGCCATTGTGATTTTTTTCTTTTAACTTTAACCCCCCCCCCCCCGATTCGGATACTGTAACCAAGATTGAAAATCGTCTTATGCTTTTGGTTGGCGTGTGTGTTGAAGGGGGGGGGGTCATTTCCCGGCAATCTTGTTAAAGTGGATAAATTTATTAGCCTACACGTCTTTCTAAATATATTTATTGAAAAAATATGCATTGTTCTTAACTTTTATAACGTATTCATTTTAATTACAGAACACAAGATTTTCATCTTGGAAAAAATACGATTATGATTACCAAAAATATTTTGATGGTTCAAAAGAATTTTACGTGTTTCTCAGATGCAAAGGAAAACCAAACAATATACATAAAACTCATCTTTTAAAAAAAAAAATATTTAAGAAGCAATTGCATAAAGCATGAGCAAATTTTATAAATATGCTTAGGTTCACATAAAGACGAACCCATAAGTAAAGCGATGTGGCGTAACAGGCGAATTATTATGTGGTTGAGAGGTGTCAAGTTTTCCGGCGTTTAACCTTCAATCACCAGATTGAGACATGTACATTTACCCTGCCGATGATACTGCAGACCGTAGGCTTACGTAACAATAAGGGCAACAATTTAGTAATGGTACAGAAATGTTTTCATCTGTACTCTTCCTAGCCGGTGAAAATGCCAGTTTAAATCATTCCAGAAGGTTTGATCACTCATACTAAGACGCAACCACTTTGTCGATGTAGGGCTGAAAAGCTCTGCACTTGAGCATTAAGGGATAATTTTCGCGTCAGCACCTACTGCGACACGGGATCTCAGTTTACATGAGACTATCCCGAAAGACTAGCTGCAATAATGTAGCCCTCTCCCTTTTTCGATGAGAGGGCTACAACTCTTAGGATCTCCATAATGGTGCAGCTGCGGGAGTAATTTGCTCCCGCACGGATTTCGGCTCAAATTAACAGTAAATGGCTATTTTATTAACATTTCTTACCTTGACTCCAAATAAGTAGTCATCCAAGACGTAAACCAATGCAAAAATATACAGAACGATCCCTATATCGCTTATTTTTCGTGTATGTCAACATCACAACTCGAATTTATCCGCCATGTTTACTGACCTTGATAGATTGTATTTTGGGACAGCCAATGAGAATTTAGGTTCTATAGGAGCGGATCTTTTTGGAATTCCCTTATTTTAAACATAAATATCGCTGCTTGCATAAAAATAACACTTAAAATGGTTTTATATACCTATGTTTTTGTGATGGAATTCAGCACATACATTTATAAACACCGATAATTGCTTTGTTCAGTTGCTCTAAATTTCAAGCGAAAGTCTCATTACGTCACGCGTGAACTGTCATGGCTGCTGAAGTAAACTACCAGGAAACATGCAGAGTTATTTTACAAGTTTTTCGCATTTAACGGGGTCTACTGTTGACAGTGAATAAAAAATTCGTCTTATTAGAAGTAAGTTGAATGTAAAAATAATTTATTTTGCCTGCAGTCGCTCCTATTAAAAAAAATATTTGCACCATTACGAAGATGCGATGGAATTGTAGCCCTCTCCAGAAAACATCAGATTAAAAAAAATCGGAGAGGCCTACATTATTGCAGCTACCGAAAGACCAGTCTCCGCGTTACACACAATGCTGTATTGTATTGTTGATTGTATATTGTTTAACGTCCCTCTCGAGAATTTTTCACTCATATGGAGACGCCACCAGGGCTGCAAATTTTGTCCTATACTCGGCACTTAGGGCCATTGAGCAGGGAGGGATCTTTTTCATGCCAGCACCTACTGCGATACGGGACCTCGGTTTATACGGTCTCATCCGAAGGACCGGTCTCTCAGTGGGATTTGAACCCGCGACGTAAGGATTGACTCCTTACTTCGCGACCCTAGTTGTAGAACCCGCGATGAAAGGATCAACTTCTCACTCCGCGAATCTGAAACCACAGGAGTTCGCGTACCTATTAATTATACCGAAATTTTCATTTAATAAAAAAAATACGTAATACGTATAATAATAACACAAGGAGTGCAACGCATTTTAGTTCACCTGGGAACCCCCTCTTAATATCAAGGCTGTCGCACAATTAATCTTCAATCGAAAATTATAAAACACAAAC